CCAAAGTATAAATAAAGTCTGCCTTCTAGAAATATTATGTATATGAGTTATCTGGGAGGTTTTTAAAAAAATGTGTACTGCGACTCAAGACTGTATTCTCATGCATCAGCTCTTTAACAAATGCTGTAGTTTTACCTGATACTCCACCATAGATCTCTTCAGCTATCCTAGCTGCTTCTTTTCGATTTCCTTTGACGACATAGAAATGGGTTAGGAGAGCCAAAAAAACTTTAATTAAAAGCTTGAAGAAAAGAAAAGTAGCAAACATGGTAATAAAAATGTTTTTAAAGCCATAGAAAAGAGAACCATCTTCCATTTTGGCTTACACACTGCACAGGTTCTCAGGGCTGCAAAATTTCACTGAGTTGTAATTGGTATCATATGATATCTATTTTAAACCTTCTGGCCCTCAGTGTCCTGTCACGGAGAACTCCATTTGTAGGTTCTAAGCTAACTGTGATTTGGCGACTTCATGTTCTGACATTCACAGCAAGGTTAAACAAACTTCCTTCCAACCAGAAACAGCCGTTAATTCTAGACCTGCATTCCTCAGTGCTATCTAACAAACAGGATTCACATGCAAACCATTTTTATTCCTAAATCCCAATTTTTGCTATATTATGTTGGAAGGCAGGATTGGAAAGAAAACAAACTTCTCAGATCCCACGGGGAACAAGGCAAGTTTTTTTGAAGTTCATACAAAGAAGTACAAATACATCCTATGTTCTTGGTGGGAAGCACTAGCTCCTGGAATACTTCATTTTTTCTTCATTCTGAGGTTCATGGGAGATAAAGCCCAATTCTAAACCATGACCAGTTACAAAAGACCATTTACTCTAAGGCAGTATTTATAACAGGCCCACCTTGGATGGCTCTCCAAGTGGAAGTGTCATACTGGAAGCATTAGACCACTTTGTAATCATTTCATCCATAACAATGACCCCCAGCAAGATAATTCCCCATTTCACGTGTTTGTAAAGGTGGTACCTCTCTCTGAAAAATGAGAGCTATCCTTGATTATAAGAATTATAATGAAATGGATGCTGAAGATTCCTAGGTTCTGGGTGAAGTACCCAAAGATTATATGAATCTTCCCTAGTTGGTCAGTTGTAAGCCTAACTGTTCAACATGCATCAGCTTGACTTCTTTTTAATTTTCCACACCTAGGAAAGTTAGGTGAGGCCAATCTAGGTCTCCTCTTTCATTCTTGGCTGTATTAGATTTTCTCAATTTCTGTAACCAATTAGAAAAGATAAGCCAAAATAAAATTATAAGAGCAGATGAAATAAACCTTATGTAATAAATGCTTTATGCAAAAAATACGGGAGTTTCTCCTAGCACTCAGTCAAATTAGAATGGCTACCTATATAAGAACTATTTCCCTATACTTTGTTAAAAGGCTGGTGCATGAGAATACGGTCTTGAGTTACAAAACAGAGTACATCACTTCAGTGTCAAAATAAGGATCTCGTACCCTCTGATACAGCATGGAGGGACCTGAAGAGTATCATGCTAAGCAAAATAAACCAGTCAGAAAAAGACAAGTATCATGTGATCTAACTCATATGTAGAATCTAAAGAACAAAATAAACTGATGAACAAAATAGATCCAGACATAGAAGCATGGAACAGACTGTTGAATCTCAGAGGGAAGGTGGGGGTGGGTGGGTGTGAAGAGATCAACCAAAGAACTTGTATGCAGCTATGCATAACCCATGGACACAGACAATAGGGTGGTGAAGGTCTGGGGCGACAGTGTGGGGGCAGGCTAGAAGGAATCAAAGGGGAAAAAAGGGGGACATCTGTGTAACTTTCAACAATAAAGATAAAAAAAATACATAAAGACCTTGCATTGTTTCTATTCTCAAGAACAGATATTAACATATAGGGTTGACTTTACCAAGCTTACATTAATTACCTGGTAGAGTGCCAGTGTACGAAAATACATGGATGAACACAAGTATTTTAGCTCTTCTCATGTCTCCAACTGTGCTCTATGGAAAGTCATTATTTACTCATGTCAGTCCAGTGATGTAGATTGTATTCTATAACATCATTCAATCTTGTTTTGGCCTTGATTTTCATTTAAAAGGCTGTAGTTTGTTTTATATACCAGAAAAGTTGATCATGAGAAGCTCAACTTTTTTAAGCTTCAAATGGATATCTATACTATTTCTGAGAGACCATCTTTAAATTTGAGATGGGTGTCAAAGACTACTGAAGTAAGAAGTCAATTCACAGTATCTTTTACAGGAGATGAAATCATCCACAGCACCAGTGTGTCTCAGCCTCAGAACTATTGACATTTTGGGCCAGATCATTCTTTGTTGTTGGAGGCCATCCGAAAGCATTGGAGGGTATCTAGCAGCATCCCTGACCTCTACACACTCGCTGCCAGTACCCCACTCCCATCCAGTTGTAACAACCAGAAATGTGTCCAGGCACTCACTGCCGATGTTCCATTGGGAGAAAATCGCCACCCCTTTTCAGCTCCCACACCCAGTTGAGAACCACTGAGCCATAGTCCAACATAAATGATCAAGAAAAATGAACTCCCTAAAGTACTGATGACTATAAATCAAATTCTGCATTGAACTTTAATTTTCAGAATATCCTATTTTAAAAATTCAGCCACAGGATGATATAATATAACCACATCTAGCCAATTCTTTTGGGAATGCAGAGGATAAAGAGGGTTTTAAAAATATTTCACAAGCCAGGCCAGTGTAGCTCAGTGGCTGAGCATCAACCTATGAACCATGAAGTCATGGTTAGATTCCTGGTCAGGGCACATGCCCAGGTTGCGAGCTCAATCCCCAGTGTGGGGCGAGCAACAATGATTCTCTCTCATCGTTGTTTCTCTCTCTCCCCCTCTCCCTTCCTCTCTGAAACCAATAAAAAATATATTTTTGAAAAAATATTTCACAAAAGTAAAAACAGATCTATATCATGATTTTGCCAAAAATAAGTTTCAGAATAAGATAAATCAGAATGTACCAATGTAGGTGACTGCTTTCCACTGCTTCCAACAAAAGGGGTTGGAGAAGCTGCATTTCTGTAAATAAAATCAAAATTCAAGTTTCTCTTAAAATACCATACAAAACAAAGTATAATTACGTAGTTCACATACACAACAGTTAACAGCTGTATTCATTTGTCTCATGTGGTAACTCCAGCACAGTGCAAAACAGGGATTTGTTTGGATCAGGAAACAAAGGCACAATTGAACTTGCTAATAACCCATGAGTAAAAGAGAGACTGTATTCTAGGAAAAAAAAAGATGACAGAGTAATTCGTCATCGGAAGGATATTCCCTTTTTTACTAAGAGACATAGCAACACATCAAATTGCACTGAAAAGATGACATATTATAGAATTGTACACCTAAAGCCTATGTAATTTTCTTAACCAGTGTCACACCAATAAGTTCAATAAAACATTTTCTTTACAGAAAGCATAGAAGGGAAGGGGGAGGGGAGAGCTAATAAACTAGTAAATAAAATTCTGGTCATAAAAAAGACAAACTCAGAAAATTGTGAAAATGTTAATTTGGTCTTTATTTTTCTAGGACATGTAGAATGTTTTCATAAATCAGTTTTACAAGTGCTACTTTTTGTAACATCATAAGAAACACATTTTGCATAAAATCCTCATTACTGCAAATTCACTTGCAAATAAATGTAAGTAGAGGGTAGAACAATATGTTTCCACATATTGACCAGTGCAACACTGACAGTTTCAATTAAAGTATCTGGGAAGCCTGAAAATGATTTAGTAGAACTAGCAAATTTACTTCCATTTGTCAAAAAAAAAGAAAAATAATTTTAATTTGCAAATTATATATTTTACGTGCAAGAACTTTAATGCCTATGTCCACCTGAAATAAATGACAATAACGACTTTGAAAATAATATGCCAAGAAACAAAAATATAAGAAAAAAAGTATGCCTTTGAAAATTGCTGAATAAAACCAAACGTTAGTTTCTCACTTTATGGTGAAGATTGGCACTGTTTATTCAATATTTATATAAGTCAGTTTCTGTGCATAAAAATCCCAATAAGATTTAATGGTTTGGGTCAGTCCATTTTTCTTTAACTAAAGAACTCCTAACTTCTAGATTTAAAAATTGCACTCTTGCATTTGTGTTTTAGTATGAAACACGAATATACTTCTTTATATCAGTGGCAACTGGTTAATAGGCATGATAAGATACTCTTTAAAAAGTTGTGTAAATATTGTCATTTTAAAAAATCCTGTACACAATCACAATACTGCCAGAATCTATGTAGTGCACCCACACGTGCCTCTTTTCTTTCCATTTCAACCCTTTATCACAAAAATTTATTCAAAGGAGTTCAGTAAGACACACCATGTGGATAATTTGGGGTTTTAAAACCCATGGCTCTGGGCAACGATTACAGTTAACAACGCATCCATCCACGAAGAGACTTGTATTCCTTAAATTTTCAGACTCAATTCACCAGGAAAAAACATTCTGGGGTAAAGACTTTTTTGCACACTGACAATACTTATCAGGTATCAGCTAGGCCACAAGTGAAGGGAAGTGACTTCTCCCAAAGGTACAGGGTAGCAGCTGAGTTTGAGATGGCACATCTCATACATTCTGCTCGGAAAACGTGAAGGCATTTACAGAGAACTAAATTATGCACTGAAAGATGTGGAGGGTTTGTCTCTGCACTCTCATCAACAGTGGTATCGGTCCCTAGTACTTAAAAAGCAAACAGCATTTTCATAAACGCAACTGAAAATGAAGGCTCTACCTAGAAGAATGCACACAGCAGGATCAAAGTACTCTGAGCGGATCGGCAACTGTTTCGTGGCATTAAAAGCATGAGCATTTTTGGCATGTTGTATGGTTTACCATTTCACGTCAAGTGACCCCAATGAAGTGAGCCATTTGAGTGGTAAACAGTGAAAGCACCCTGGTCCTTCAGGGCAGAAAGTGTCTAGTTCAATGTTCTACACATAGTAGGCGCTTAAAGCAGGCTAGTACCTGACAGACCTTCTTTTATTCAAGAAACCTGCTGATTATATGTAACACTTACTGAGTGTTCCCAAGAAAAGGTTAAGAACATGACTTAAATATCTAATAAAGTTGCATGGACATGACTTAAAATAGTTCATAGGGTTGTTGTACTTCCATAAAGGAAACTTGTAAACATCTGGTGAATATCTAATTAATGGCAGAACATTTAAATTGGCCAAAAGAAAAAAATGCCCAGAAAACATTTGGCCCTTCAGCACCCAAAGCTCCCAAAATATGTGAAAACATTTCTGCTAGAAGGATTTCAGAAATCTGAAAAATATCATACCTGAGTGACTTAAATAGGTTCTCTCTTAAATTTTAAATAAGTGCAAGAAGTTTCTACACTCAGGAATTGCATAAGTTATCTTTCCTCAAAGTAAAACATTGAATGATATAGAGGTAGCACAACTTACTAAATTAACCTTAAAAAAAGGGGAAAAGCAAGGTTATTTTCAATAGGCTTAATATAATAGCACTGTTACAAATATTTAAAATCTTCCAATCCAGGCTTTCTTCTACCTGGTTTTATTCCTGCCCCGTTTTCTACTATAAGGATATTGATTAATCCAGGCACCCTTTGGCCCTGTGGCATCAATTGCCACATCAATGAGAGAATCTGGAGTCATCCACCTCAGGAAAGTGAGGAAGAGAAAGTTGAATACGGCCAACAAAGCAAAAATGCAGCCTGTTACTGGGCCACAGTGAGACATGAGTCTTTCCAGTCGTTTGTCCATTGGTAACACAGTTTCTCCTGCCACACGATTGTACACCTGGTGGAAGAGAGGCCGAGAATGAGCACTGTGATCTAAAATAAACGATGACCAGGAATGTTTTTATAGATATAAATAGAAGTCGCTTACATTTCGCTGCTGTTGTTATAGAAATGATGTGGTTAATGAAACTCATTACAGTAATGTATTGCCTTTTAATTCAACATTCATGGAGGGCTTATTCTGGAAAAAACACCAGGCTAGATGCTGTGATATAAAGACAAATATGCCACAACTCCTGTCTCCCAGGGCATCACCATCAATTTTAACCCAACTATGAGAATTCTGAAGTCCTGAGAGTTTGAAACTCCTCTTCAGGTCACCTCTGTGGAGGCCATATTTAATTCAGCAGCGACTCCCTGAAGTGGGGCTGGCCTTCTAAGATTCCTTGGCTTGGCTGAGAAGCCCTTTCCACTATCTGGTAGACACCAACCACAATCAGAGAGTGACAATCTAGTGTGCTTCTTTCTGGGTACAGAGTGGCTCTTCTTTCAACAGCTACATGAGGCCTGCTGCTGAGCACAGATGGTGAGAATATACAGAAACATTTCATGGATTCCAAATAAAAGAAGGGGAAAAGAGATGGGGGGAAATCTTAGTAGATGGTATGGGTCAGGGGTGGGGAACCTTTTTTCTGTCAAGAGCCATTTAGATATTTATAACATCATTCACTTAATATAACTCACTTAATATAAATTTATGTTGCTATGAAAAAAGCGCCTAGATTTACTGAATTTCAAGTCCCACCTGGAGTTGCCTTTGCAGAGCCAAACCAAATGATTTCTCAGACTTTATACGGGCCCGTGGGCCAGATTTCCGCCCCCCTCCCTTGGTATAAACACTGGCAAAGCAAACAAAGTTTATTGCTGAGAACTGATAGTAGGTGACTTGCTTTTTAAATCATTAAGCACTAAACTTGGCAATATTTTTAAAAAACACACAAAGATCTTTAAACATATTTATTTGAACACATCAAATGGGCCAGCGTTAATTTTAATCATATTTGAGCATTAGTTGTGCTCCTTCTCATGTATCAATGAGATCTGTAACGAATCTCCTTTTGAGCGCAAGAAAGTTATGATGTGCAGTACAAGTTCTGTAGGCCAATGGCCTTTGAAAGATACAGAATGTTTCATCTAGCTCTTCTACCCCAAGGATATTTAGAATACCTTTGAATCAGAATTTTGTTGCAAATTATACTGAGAATGGTGAATCACAATTGTTCAATTTTCCAAAGAGCAGTTAAACTAAGAAGGAGGAGTTGAAAGGGAACAAAATGTCCTGTTAGGAACAGGTAGAATTAAAAGAGCAACTACAAACTGACCAGTGTGTCCACCTTTATTTCTAGGTCAATTAATTTATGATCTTAAGCTACAAAGTAATTTACTACTGTGAAGAGAATAACAGGTTAATCCATTATAGAGAAGGACTTTGTTTTCTGAATTAATACTATAAATCACCAGGGTATAAAACAGAGAAAATACAAATGTTTCACTATTACTTTAAGCAAAACTAAAAGAAAATGTGGTTAAAAATAATACTAATTAGCTTCTTTAATATATGCTGACATATTGTCACCAGAGATCTTTGCCCCGAACTTAATATCTACAGTAGCTCAGACTTCCGAGGTTTACATGATGTGATCAAGAAAGTGAAGTCACAACTTACGGAGCCATGGTTACCAAGCAGAGTAGAGTATCACTGAAAAAAACAACTGTCTAACCCAGGGGTCCTCAAACTTTTTAAACAGGGGGCCAGTTCACTGTCCCTCAGACCGTTGGAGGGCCAAACTATAGTTTAAAAAAAAACTATGAACAAATTCCTATGCACACTGCACATATCTTATTTTGAAGTAAAAAAACAAAACGGGAACAAATACAATATTTGTATTTGCATGTGGCCCGCGGGCCGTAGTTTGAGGACCCCTGGTCTAACCAAATATCCCTGCCAACCATTCCCAAATTCCACCTGTGCTCTTAAAGGGTCATATTAGAATCAAGGGAGTGGCTGGGATGGGAGTAGGCAGGGGGGCAGGAAGATGGAATGAACGGCTCCTGAAAAGGCTTCCTAGGTGATTCTGACATGTATTCCTGGCAGGTAATCAGTGCTCACTCCAACCTCCAAAGGAAAAAGGCAGTTATTTCATACTAGAGGCCCGATACACGAAAATTCATGCAAGAGTAGGCCTTCCTTCCCCAGACTGCTGACACTGGCTTCCCTCTGGCACCCGGGATCCAGGCTTCCCTCCTCTGGCCACCAGCAGGCACCCGGGAACCAGGCTGGCTTCCCCCAGGCCACTGGCAGGCACCCGGGACCTGGGCTGCCTTTCCTCTGGCCCCAGCTTCATCAGGGAGGACGTCTGGAATGATATCCAGAAGACGTCCAGTCTAATTAGCATATTACCCCTTTATTATTATAGATGGGTAGAGATATTGAAAAACTCCTCGAAGGTAAGTGTGTCTCAGAGACATTTCAGTCAAAACTATGTTAACTCAGCCCGGCTGGCGTGGCTCAGTGGTTGAGTGTCGACCCATGAACCAGGAGGTCAAGATTTGATTCCAGGTCGGGGCACATGCCCAGGTTTCCGGCTGGATCCCCAATAGAGGGTGTACAGGAGGCAGCCAATTGATGATTCTCTCCCACTATTGATGTTTCTATCTCCCTCTCCTCTCCGAAATCAATAAAAATATGTATTTTTAAAAAACTATTAACTCAAATATCTCACACTTCAATGGGAAATGTATATGACAATTTTTAGAGAGAAAAGAATTTTCCTGCACTTATATTCAAATATGAGTTCATCTTATGTACGGAAATTTATAAATTAAACCAGATAAGAGAGGCTTACAGTAAAGAGCTATTCTGCCCACTCGGAGGCTCCATCTTGCTCTCTATTCTGGCTAGCAACTAGCTGCTTCACTGAGTACAATGAGAGCATAAAGCACTCGCCTAAACTACTATCTCCTCCATGCTCCCAACTGACTGAGCTCCTGGTTCACAATTTCGCTATACTAACAAGCAGAGGGTTTCCCCCAGTGTGTTACCTGGTAATAAGAGGCATGAAGCAGACGAAGTAATGAGAGTAAACAAAGGACAAAACCCAGTGGAATAAATGAAGCCCCTAACTTGAAACAAGGAAGCATTTTCCACAGTCACACTCTCCCACCTGAGGGTATTAATCTATATCAGTGGTCGGCAAACTACGGCTCGCGAGCCACATGCGGCTCTTTGCCCCGTGGCATGGGCCTCGAAGTTTCAATTGCACTGTACGTGCGCGCCCGCACGTGGTATTTTGTGGAAGAGCCACACTCAAGGGGCCAGTTTGCCGACCACTGATCTATATCACGTACCTATCCTGGAAATTCTCTATTACTGCTTTTTTCTGTGTGATAATACTCCTGACATGTGTCATGTGCATTTTGAATTCCAACTTATTATGTTCTCAATCAGCCCAAAGCTGAAAAAATCCTTTTCCTGTAGAAAATTACAGTAGTTAGCAAAAGCGACACAAGTGTTTTAGGAAATAGCCTGAATTAAATATTTGCAAGTTATAGAGTTGCTGCAACCAGACTAAGTAAAACCATATATTTAGAATACTTTAGTATTCTAAACAGCCTCAAGAAAACGTCTTATAGATTTTAATATTACTTCTGCCTCTAATGGCTGTGACTTCCAGACAATTACGTGTAGATGGCATTACTGCTACTTTCAGATGTCAAGTGCAAAATTTGACGAGAAACGTAAATATACCAAAAGCACACAGTTCACTTCTTTTCATTTGGGAGAGACTTCATAAACGTAAGCAATAGAACAGAAATGGTAAACCTGTACAAGACAAAGTCAGGGTGTACATGAAACCTCAGGAATTCAGACACAATCTTCAAATACCCTTTTCTGGGCAGGTGACATACTTTTTCCGTTCGCTCCGCAACATTCCTCCAGGTGTAGAAAGTCTTTACTATGTTATGGATTTTTTCTGGAGCTGGCAATACTCCGGACTTCAGCTGGGAAATAGCTTTTTCCAATCCTTCACACAAGGATTTTACAGAAGGCTCACATAAAATAATGAGATTTTCTGGAAGTACTTCGGGAATTCCACCAACCCTGGTACTTACAACCTTAAAAAGAAAAAGAAAAAAGAAAAAAAAGAACATGGTCCAGCATAATTCACATCTCAGGAAAATGAGCAAAACCAACCTAAAAAATTACTACAGAATGTGTCTGATTAGTTTTCAGAATACATGCACAGAAACCCCGATAATGTAAGCCCTCAAAGCTTTTTACCTGTAAACCACAACTGGCTGCTTCCACAATGGCCATGCAGAATGCTTCAGTAAGGGAAGTATTAAGAAAAATATGTCCTTGAACTAAGACATTTCTAACATCCTTGTGTTCTAAGGCTCCCAAGAGACGCACTCTGATTTTTGAAATGAGAGAAGAAAGAGGACAGTGAAAATCATGCTATGGACGAAAGGGATATAATTTATAAGCCAAGCGTGCTATGCATATTGTACTCAGATTTTACTGGTCCTAATGCTTTCCACCACACAAAAAAAATTAATATTGCCAAACTCTGATCTAAAAGAAAGTCTTATTAAGTAGGGTGGTTAAAACACAAACAGCTAACATAGTTCTCACTTTCATCACACATCAAATTTCATCGTTTCCAAAGTGAGTTTGCATGTAATGGAAATAATACACTTTAATGAGTAGATGTTAGTGTCATTTCTAACCAGGGGAACATCCCCTTTAAACTGATGTTTCACAGGCACACCCCTCACATGGTATCCAAGTTACTGAGGAAGATGTTCACATCTGTATGTGCAGAGGAACTGACATGATTTGGGCCACGCTATTAATTTTTTAAAATATTTCTCTCTTAAATCTCTTTGTGCCTTCCAGAATGCTTCCAATCACTGCCCCATAAAGTCAAGTAACATTGGGCTAACAAAAAAATAAATAAAATTGTGAATTCTTTAACTAGGGTTTCCCATTTTATATATTTTAAAAAATAGGCCGTGTACTACATTTTACATCAAATACATGTAGGATAAAGCAGCCCACTTAATGCAGGCATGTAGCCAAAACCCAATTTAGGTCACTGATATTTTTCACCCAAGACAATATGGAAGCCATCATCAATACCTGTCATGTAGCTGGTATCTTTCCCGTACTTCTTCCAAAATTATTCTCTTTGGTCCCTCTCCTCCAATTATGAAATTTAAATCTTGATATTTCTGACAGAGTTCAGGTATTATACCACTAAGCAAATCAGTACCTGGAAATAGAAAATAAAGTTAAATGTTGGAGATATTAATATTTAAACTTTTTTAAAAAATCATCAGAACTACTGCAAATCCACTCACTTTGAAAAGTATTAGCTATGCCCTCCTTATGTAGAGAAATGAATTTCTTAAACCTTTCCTGGGAGGGTAGAATCATTCACAAACTGCTAGAAGTCCCCCAAGAGTTGCAATTCTTAAAGATACACACACTGGCATCCATTGTAACCTTCCATACATCAAATATGTGTACTATTCTGTTTTCATTTCAGTATAATGTTCTTTAAGTTATTCACTTGTGTTTACACATTGTTCATGCATAGAAAAGGTATTTGAGGTAGCTAATGTTTGAGTTCAAGTTTTCTACAGAGCAGGACAGCTGACTGGAGATCTAGATCTTGTGCCAGGCTTTTAACAAGCAAGGTCTTTGACGATGGGAAAGTTTCGTGATACAGAATATTAAGAGGCCTATGTACGTCAAGTCCAAGGTCTCTTTCCTCTATGAAGTTCTACTACCTATGATTCCACTTCCTGACACAGGAAAGGGATAAGCAATAAAAGTATAACTGCTGTCTTCACTTTGTGCAGAATGCAATTTATACAGAGGATTCTGCAGTGAATACTATGGTATTAGCAAAATTTAAAAGAACAGTCCATCCAAGCCTTCTATAGCCCACTTCCCCAAAGGAGGGTAAGTGAAGGTGGCAGGACCCATCAGCCAGGCCATTACATTCCAGAGAACAGAGTGTTCATCTCTGTTCTTTTTTTTTCTAATGAAACATTTTTCTTATAATACGTAAATACAACCTCAGGTAATGTGAAGCAGTAAAATAAATCATGCCCTACTAGTCTGAAAGTGGTTATCTAAAGTGATAGCAATGTTGACACTACCTAAAAAGTTAACTCATTAACAATTACAAATTGTACACAAAGTAAAAATGCAAAACCCAGGTAGCTTATTAATTTAAGAAATGCATACATGCACACACATACACACAAGAATCGCACTATCAATCCTCCCAAATATAAGCAGATCGATTATAAAAAAAAAGATGGTGGGAGATATAAAGGGTGTCCCCTCCAAAAATGTATATACACTTTAACAGCTGATATATCGCTCAATTTTAAAAATGAAATATATTGTAATAAACACTACCCTTATAATTATTCAAAGTGTGTGTATACACTTTTTGAGACACCCTATGTATAGGTCATTTTTATTAAGTAATTCAAAATAAGATTTAAGTAAACTCTGCTAGTATTTTCAAAATGATTGCACTAGCAAACATAAATTCACATGTGGGTTTTCTGAATTATGAAGGCTTCTCATTAAAATCTTAGCTATCTTTGTTTCAAGTCTATTACCAAATCTATCAATTGGATTTCTAGATGAACAAGAAAGTGGCTTAATGACTTTTAACATTTAGCCTCCTATAATTCTTTCATTTTCTTTCTTTCTTTCTCCACTCTCCCTTCTAATACAAATATTAAGAACCCATTCTTAAAGTAAAAACAAACACATATAGAGTAATAATTCTAATTACTGGTAATAGCTAACATTTACTGAGTGCTATGTCAGGCAATATACTTTAAATATACTATGTCATTTATTCCTGACAACTGCCTTGTAAGAAATGGAACTAATATTGTCAATTATCTATAATATTATTTTGAGAATAAAAGGTTTTACCCCACAATAAAAAATGTTCTGGTGCCTATAAGAAGAGTCTAACACAGTGGAACATACAAAAGGACTTTCAATCTCCAGTTACCCAAAATGGACAAGGAAAATTCCTGATTCGAACTGTTTCAAAGATCAATCTAACAATATTTTAAAGAACCTTCTGAATCTATACTTAAGATAATGGTGGTTGGGCCAGGGTAGAGGAAACAGACCTTAACTCAGGAAGAGCTGAACTCATGTTTGTCATCTGTTACTTACTGTGTAACCTGAGAGAATTACTTACCCTCTCTGAGACTGTCTGTTACATGCACATAACAGATACCCTACAGCTGCTGGGAGGGTCAAGTGAAGCAGTGTACCATGCACAGGCTTTATCAACTGCAGAACATAAACATAAGCTGTCATTACCACTGTCACCAGAACTGGGCTGTGCCTGCACATTCGCAGCACTACTGTGAACCCTCACTGAGCAAAAAGGGACTCAAGAAAAGAGGGAAGAAGCCAGTCAGGAAACCTGGGTGATAAGAACTTTGATTTCTCCTGTTCCTTACTTAATACATTCCAGTGGACCTTTGACATCTGGTCCAAATGAACACTTAAGGAAATTAATTTGTTAATCATTAATGGACCATTAATAGAACTGCTCACTTCGGGGCTACAGAATGTTAATTTTTACATGATGTCTGGCATATGCAAAGGGTTCGATAAGTGTTATCAAATTGAGAACAGGAAAGGCTAAAACCTCACCCTGTTGGTAGTTACTTCAGCTGGTTAAAATACCATAACTAGTGAAGTACATGTAACAAGTTTAATCATTGTATAGTTAATTTTGCTCTGATCCTCAACCATGCATGCATCATACTTCCTTAGCTAGCTAGCCCACAAAAATATACTATTGGATTAAAAAAACACTGTAAACACATTTTCTAAGTTACAACAAACACATCAGCAATATCCTGAGGGATTCAGGATCCAGAATGCTGGTCAATTACATCTTCTTGGTTAGAGGATGACAGCATCTCATTGCTTTTAACCCAGAAAACGCAGTTCAGTAAGTTTTCTCACCAACCTCTGCTTAAGAGCCTGACCAACCACAGTTCTCTATTACACTTGTACACTTCTGATCCCACCACTAACGTTAACACTTACCAAGAATCAGTGGTGTTGTCCCCAGATCTGTTTGATGCCAGTTGCACTTGTTACTATGTTAGGTAATTTAATTAAAAGCACCAAAACTGACAAAATGAGTTTCTGAGACTAAGCTCAACAGTTTGAAGAATAAAGTCACAGGAAAAAGCTCTTGTCCTATTAGGGGGTATCCTAAACCACTATATAAAATCAAAAGCAAATGAACATCGGGAAGCACGTTACTTCATATGCCTTTAGGTTCTCACCTCATTTAAAAGAAACCAAACTGGCAATTGAAAATGATGCTTTTTGAACATAACTGTGCAGGAAGAATGATGCAGCTAAAATCAGTGGACCTGTACTCTTAAGCCTGAAGGCCTACATCGAATTATTGGTATTTCAGTGCACATTAATAATATTTGGAGTTGAACTCAAATATTTAAGGGGAGATTATATATTATCTTTTTAATGATTCCGTACTTTAATTTTGATTACTAGATAGGTTTTCAAAGAGCATCCAGAAAACCATTTATGTTTGGATTAACCAAACTTTCAGACAGTAAATGAGGCTCTACAAATTCTATTGCAGGGACATGAAGTGCTGCAGAGGCACTAAAAAAGTCCTTCTTGATAACAGCGAACACTCAGCAAGTACAAACCAGGCTAAGTACTTCATAGGAACCATCAATGAATTCTCACATGATTCCCACTGTTACCCAAATTACACAAATGAAAACACTGAGACTCAGAGATGTTTTGTAGCTTGTCCTCAATCACACAGTGGGACAGCACCAGTCCTTTCCTTCATCACTTACCTGACAATATGTCACTAACGTCTTATCTATGCTTAAATGAAATACAAAACAGTAATGGCAGAACAAGCTCAATGATTTCGAATATATATATATATATATGCATAAAAAAGACAGGAAAGCTATAAGTTAAAATTTTCACTATAGTCATCCCTGAATAGTACAGTAACAAGTTGATTTTAGTTTTCACTTTTGTGCTTTTCTGTTTCCAAAATATCTGCAAAGACAAGACATTACTTTTGCAATTAGAAACTGGTGGTGGAACCGGCCCTGTACTTCTTACTGCATGTCCAGGGCTATTTTAACTTTTAAAAAGACCTGATCCAGGTACAGCCGGTGTGGCTCAGTGGTTGAGCGTCAACCTATGAACCAAGAGGTCATGGTTCGATTCCTGGTCAGGATACATGCCTGAGCTGTGGGCTCAATCCCTAGTAGGGTGCGTGCAGGAGGCAGCCGTTCAATGATTCTTTCTCATCATTGATGTTTCTACCTCTCTATCCCTCTCCATTCCTCTCGCTGAAATCAATAAAAACATATTTTAAGAAATAAAATTATTAAAGACCTGATCCTGATCTGTTAAACAGCATCACGTTGGTTTTATTTTTAAGTAACTATTAAAATACCAAAGGTGGAGGGGGGGAGCAGCATTCACCACTGTTCCAAAATTTTTTTGAATGTATAAAACAATATTCAACCTTTCTTTGCTATATTTAATGCAGTAGTCACCCTATATAATAAAAGGCTAATATGCAAATAGATCAAACAGCAGAACCACTCGTCGCTATGACATGCATTGACCACCAGGGGGCAGACGCTCAATGCAGGAGCTGCCCCCTGGTGGTCAGTGCACTTTCACAGGGGGAGCGCTGCTCAGCCAGAAGCTGGGCTCACAGCTGGTGAGCACAGCAGCGGTGGCGGGAGCCTCTCCAGAGGCAAGAGGGTGCAGGGTGCAGGGAGCAGGCGAGGCTGAGGCGCCCCCCCACCAGTGCACAAATTTCATGCACTGGGCCTCTAGTAAAACCATAAAACAAAATAAAAAGCCAAACAATCATTATAAACAAGTATCCAACAGCTTTCTATAAGAAAAAAAAAGTCTGTGCAGTGCAACTGCAGCTATTATTTCATTTCATTACCTTTTCTGTAAACAAGTCTGCTGACAATAACAATAGTTATGCTATCATGCCTTCTAAATGGGTCTGGAGTGAAGTCAGTAGGATCTACAGCATTAGGAATGACGGACACTATTTCAGGATTCAGTGCTGCTCTTAGCACAGTGTTCTCCTTACTAGTGTAAGAGACACAAATTATGTGGTTTGTGTCACAAAGAGAGACAGTTAGAAGCTTGTTTGTAAGCACCGAGCTGACATCAGCAAATCCAAAAAGGGAATGGTCCGTGAAGACTGTACGGAGCCCCATTGTCTTGGCGTGGAAGAGGGCGTCATGGGCCATGGCAGAAAAGGAACTATGTGAGTGGATTATGGTGACTCTCTCTCGAACAAATATGTACCTGAGCAAAGGCAGACTGTGAAAGAGGGTTGTGGCTGTAGATTGGTTGTACATAACTTTCAGAGGCAAGTAATAGACTTTGAGGCCTTTAGTGAGGTAACGGATGCCTTTTCGATTTCCATAAGCATGGGTGACAATTATGACTTTGTGTCCTCTTTCAATCAGGCACTGAGAGAGCTGGTAAATGTGGCTTTCCACGCCTCCCATATTCGGGTAGAAAAAGTCCGACACCATGCATATGTTATGAGTAGGAGTTCTACATGTGAAAAGACGTCCAGGGCTAACAGGGTGGAATGCCGCTGAGGGACCATGGCGGCGCCCACCTCCTCCTCGATAGGCCATGCTGAGACAGTTTAGGCATTAGTCCTTTACAGCAACCCCGTTAAGATGTCATTGAATACCTGAAAAAGAGAGGAAAACAGGATCTCAGCTCAGAACTACATTCTACATCCCAAATCCAGATATAAATATGGCTTTAATATTAATGTAAATTTGTTAGCTTTTCCCCTAGAAAGAAAACAAAGCATATCATGAATTTACTCATTTGGCATTTACCTGCTTAGCATTTGCTATGTGCCATACAACTAAACAACATCCTGCAATGTCTTTCTATCAATTTTGCTTTAAAAAGACTGCTATACATAGTTTCAAAAAATCAGTTTATTACACCATTGTATATAATAATTTGCCATGCTAACAAACCAGTTCATTCCAATAATTACATATTAGGGCTCTTTACAGAAATAGGGTGCCAACCCCACTCGAGAACTTAGCCACTGATTCAATGGATCTCATAAAGTTCTGCTAGTTTTACCTTTGTATGGTTCGCACTAAAATATACCTGGAGCTGGAGCTGTCTTTTTGAGAGCAGTTTTTTCAAGTGCCACGGGTAGCACATGCTGCAGACATCCACTTTTCTCCTCCTGTACTCAAGGATGGTGATAATCAAACTACTCGCTTCATGTCAAACTTTCTTTCAGTTACATGGGCCTTTCTGCCATGAGTGTCCGTCCCTTCAGTTTGGAGTCTGAAGATAAAGACTGAACTAGAGCCTCACTGACGTGGCTCAGTGGTTGAGCAACAACCTATGAACCAGGAGGTCACGGTTCGATTCCCGGTCAGGGCACATGCCTGGGTTGCGGGCTCGATCCCCAGTGTAGGATTCCAGTCAGACGAGTAGGGAAGGAAACTGTTGGATGTTTCTCTCTCACATTGAGGTTTCTTTCTCTCTCTCTCTCTCTCTCTCTCTCTCTCTCTCTCTCCCTCCCTCCCTCCCTCCCTTCCTCCCTCCCTCCTCTCTGAAATCGACAAAAATATATTTTAAAAAAGACTACAGATTGGCTGAATCTGGGACCATTTTCTACATCTAAAGAAGGAAATGTTTATCTCAGGGGAATCCTAGATTCCTTTCAGTGCAAAATACCCACTCAAATACTCAGTACTATTGCAGACTTTTAGAGTTTTAAAGCCAGAGTATTGGAAACCTACTGAAATCTCCCTCAGCTTCACAAATGAGATTTCCATCCCCCCAGAAACTCAACTATATAATGGGAAGCCATCCTAACCATTTAACTTTCCAATTTCACCTGAAAGCTCATAAAATGCAAATTAAGTGCAGGTGTAAAGTCTTATCTATTCTCTCCAACAAATTAATCTATGTTTTAAATATAAGGTGTCCCAAAAATGTATACACACACTTTGAATAATTGTAAAGGCACTGTTTATTAAAATACATTTCATTTTCAAAATTGAGCTATCAGCTCTTAAAATATGTATACATTTTTGGGGACACTTTGTATAGTCTCAGAAATACTCTTGTGCTCATTGACCGGAATTTACTAATTATGATTCAATATTATCAAATACTGAGATTCTTCAAGTTTGTACTTTTAAGTGGCTTCACCAACATTTTAATTGTGGTTTGTCACCTAAATCCGAATTTCAAGTTCTAGTCAATTTAAAAAGATTAATGATAACGAAAAACAGTGAGTAATGAACCAAAAGGTATCAGTTTTTCATCAACCTGCGATGTTCGGTGGGGAGTCTGCCTACTTCCACCCGGTTCCACCTAACAGCTTTAGGGTGTAAAAGCTCAACAACCGGTACATTCACAAAATCTTAGATTTTTAAAGCTAAGGAGAGGCTAGGCGATCTAGTGAACACCTCTTACTCTACAAATGAAAAGCCAGACAAGTTGAGCGATTTGTCCAGGGTCTCCATCTAGCCACTTAAGTGGCAAAGGCGAGCTAGCCATAAAGTCTCTACCCTGGCCGAGGAGTCCCTGGCCAGTCATTAGCAGCAGAGGTTCCCAAGGAGCCTTAGGGAGACCCAGCGGGGTTTGGGGGTCAAGAGGACGGGGCTTCCACCCACCCCCAGGTACTGCCCCGGCTTTATTCACTGAGAGGACACTGGGGAGCGCCAGTGCCAAGGAAGGGAAGACCCGGTTCCACTAAGTCTGCCCCAGCGAGTCCTCAGCCACGCTGGAGTACAGAGACCCTCGACCCGGACTTCTGATCCACAAGCCGGGCCGGCCCCGCCCCTCCACGGCCGGCCCAGCTCCCACGGGGGCAGTCCTGTCCCACCCGGAAGCGGCGGAGAGAGCCGGCAAGGGGAGGTCAGACGCGCACTTACCGGCTAGTCCTATGGCCGCCAGTGTCCGGACCTCCCGCGGCAGCATCTGGAGTCCCACCCCTCAGCTCCCAAACACCAATCCAGGGCGTCCGCGCCCGAGCACCGCGCCCCGAAGCAGCCAATAACAAAGAGGCGCTGGAATCACGCGCAGGATCGGCGCTCAGACCCCACTCCTCGGCTGGGGCTGTAACTTCAGCGCGCATGCGCATGTCTCCACAAAGTTACGGAAGAATTGTTGTCTCCGTATTGAAAGCAGTAATCGTCGGTGTAACCTTTCATATGAATCCCTAATGTCGCGAATCTATGAAAATCGGCCGTGGTGTCTTGTTACGCAAGCAGTCCTCCGGGCCGGCCGCACGGTACAGAGCCAGAATCCCCAGCGTGCCTCGCAGCGACCGGTTAGCGCTGCTGGGAGTTGTAGTCCGGTGGCCTTTGAAGGCGAGTCCGAACTTAGAAAACTAACTCCCAGAATGCACCGCAGTTCTAAAGCTGAATCTTGCGCACGATGGAGTGGTCAGGTGGGTTCGAACCTTGGTTGCCTAGTTACAGCGTTTCTTTTCCCGAAGCCTGTTCTCTCCGGCTTTAGATGGGAAAGATTGGGCTGGGAAGGCTATAGAAAGGCGGGGTCATGGTGTCATTCTGTTTCTGACTTATCTGCCACAGCAGAACCATTCTGGTTCTTACCATTCTGGTGGGGTTTCCTGATGTAGCAAATGAAAATATACAAATAAGTCAAATCAGATTTTTAAAATATTCGAATTTCAGATAAATATTTTTATATAAGTATGTCCCAGATGTTGGGGACTTTATAAAAAAATTATATGTCGTTTATCTGAAATTCAAATTTAACTGGGCATTTTGTGTTTTATCTTGCAACTTGTATACTCTGGAGAAAAAAAATCTGAGCTGAAATATCAACTCCCACTCAAACTGGTTCAACTGGCTATAGTGGTGCTGGGCCAAGAAGCTAATGAATCAGTGGGTGTGGTCTGATCCACCTTTCACTGTCCGTACTTGAAGTTCCCCAGCCCTGCCCTGCATACTTTTGAGAATGAATGCCTTCCTTGAAACCATCACTAACACCCCTTCTAAGTCAGTAGAAAACCTATTCCTCCCTGAAAATGTCAGCTCCTTTCTGATGCTCTCCCCAAACCTTCAGAGAGAAGTAAATTCTCCCCCTTTTGTATGTTGATAGTACTTTGGCCACTTGCTGATACAGCATTTATCAGGTGATATTCAAATTGTTTGTCTGGCTGTAGTCCCCCTTCCTCCTCAACCTGATTCTTGAAAACTTGTGTCTTCTTGGAAACTCACATGGACTTCTTTCCAAAAGCTGACAATTGTATTTGCTTATTAAATGTCTGCCTTCCCAGCCAAATAGTAAGCTGAGGCAGGGTCTGTTCCTGGTAACAGACCAGGAATAAGTTTTAGTTGTATTAATGAATTTCTTTATCCAATGCCAGCACAGTCCCTGACATATTATATAACCAATAAAATGTATTGAAAATATTTTGACAGTACAGTTATATAATTCAAAGAGCATTTTGGCTGTAGGATTTGAAGTGTATTAATGAGTTAAACTTAATGAGTAAGGCACAGGTAGGAGTGGATTCTCTGCTCTGTGTTATTGATGCATCAGAGCATAAAAGTGATGAAGACTCAAGGATATTTATTCAAGCTTAATAACCTGAAGTTGGCTTCACAGATAACACTAATACTACCAGATGGTATACAGCATTGCTTTGGTCGCCTTTTCATTTTTTGCAATAGGTGAAATCAAAGGGTGTGGGCAGACATCCTGAAAGGTACAAATGAGGGTTAAGCCTCATTTATTGAGCCCCTGGTTTGCCACGGCCATAGTTCTGATCACAATACAGTTTAGAAATTGTACCATGAATCTGCTAAGATCTTAATGCCAGTGCTTCTTCAAAAGAGTTGTGATGTTTTTCTCAAATCAGAACAAATATTTTTTATCTTTATCATCAAACATTTACTGAGTCCTTACTCTGTAAAAGATTTTGTGGGGAATACAAGGATTATTAAACGTAGTCCCTATGTTTTAAAACCTTTTTATCTTTCTATATAACTTTTACCAGTAGTATAAAGAAATTCACTTTTCTTGAAAGGTTCTTTGTGTTTAAATGCTGTAGAATAGGCTAACCTTTATAAATAGATATTCATAAAGGTACACTGTTGCTGAGTCTCTGTGGGGGAGGGGGTCGAGAAAACTTCAGACTTTTCCAACAAAGGCTATAGATTTCAACAAAGTCTGAAAACATTGAACATTCATCATGCTTCAATCTCTAACCTAGGTGCTGAGCATTAAAAGGCAAATAAATTATGATTCTGCACATGGGTCACAATCTCCCGTGGGTACAAGACTCCATTTATAATCAGTTAAACCTTAAGCAAATGTCTCTATTTTCTAAAGTGAAAAGACAGTTGTAGCAGCAAAATTAAGTTATAAATCTGGGGATAATTCTAATTACAGTACAGTGTTCTGCCTGGATGTATGGTATCAAGGTATGCCTTTAGAGAATTTTCTTAGAAACCACTAAAAGTAGACTAAAATACTTACATGCAGCGTATTCTGATTATACTTCATAAAATATAAAGGTAATCAGTAGCAGTTGTAATATAAAATGACCTATAAATGGAGAAAGTAAAATAAACATGGAGTTCAGTTCACCTTCCCTTGAAATTCAGCTTCTTTGTAAATACATATGTAAATTAGTTATGTTGGATAATGTTGAAATGGGAAGGCAACACAGTTGTAGTGAGAGCCTGCTATCTATGTCTAAGTCACAAGGCAAGAAAAACCTGGCATGAGCTTTATCCCCAAGGAACCAAGACGAAGTTAAGGCAAATGTAATATGATGAAAGGTAGTAAGTGATACATGCCAGTAGAGAAACACAAAAATAATCACTGGGAGTTCAGAGAGAAAGAGTATTTCTAGCTGCCGGCATTTAGCTAATAGAAGTAAAGGGTGCTTATGCATCTTTTGGGAGCAAGACCATCCCAAGAACAACATGATCAAGGTACAGAGACAGGTGCTGACTGTCCAGTGGACAGTACTGTATAATTATACAGGGGAAGGGGGAGGGAAGGGTTCAGACAGTAGAAGTGTGGCATTAGGAAAATGGACTTGAGGTTGAGCCAGACTTCGGGCCAAGATGACGTTTTCAATTAATATTTTGAGATTCCTCGCTCATCATTCTGCTTTAAATGAAAAAATCAGAGATATAAGTAATAAAATTAAAATGTTATAGCAGTTCTTTTTAAAATAACATAAACACTTCCATGTATGAGAAACAGAACCAAAATGCAAAATGGTAATCAGACCAAAGCCATGTAGGTCCTGGACTCTGTATATGAAAGCAAGAACACATGAACCAAGGTTCAGCTCTTGTAGAATAATAGACTAACAGCTCCATGTGTGGCCTTTGTGGGAGATTTACATTGGTGGCCTTCAATGAACCACTTTCCAATATCTGCACCCTTGTCTAAGCCCCTCCCACACTGACTCTGGGCTTGGCCACTCAACTTGCTTAGCCAATGGGATATCTGTAAATGAAACACAGCAGAAACTTTCTAAGTGCTTATGTACTGGGGCATGTCCTATTGGAACCTTTCCAACTGAAAACCAATGGCTATGCTGTGCAGAAGCTCTCGCAAGACACATGGAAAGCCAAATGTAGAGAGGCCTTGGAGAATGAGAGTTCACCTTGGGCATTCCAATGGCAGATGAGTTCCCATTCCCTGATCACAAAATCAATGCAATACTTCATTATTTGTTAAATAATTATTTATTAGGCATCTACTGTATGTAATACATTGTTCTCACACTGAGGATTATGAGTAAATTAGACAAAGTCTAGCTCTTATTGACCAAATCTATTAAGCTTACAATTTTCACCAATCTATCGCTTCCCTTAAAAGCCTTAAAATGGATTATTTGTGCCATCTCCTTTATCAAGTGTCTCAAACAGCATTTTAATATCATCCAACTTGATCGTTATGCTCTCCAATCTGTTTGCATCTCTAAACAACCTCCCACCACACTGCCTTAGTCACAGATTTATAATCTGAGCTGTCATATTACTAACTCTCTGGCATTGTGGTTTAGATAATTAGGGATATCATACATCACTGGCATTTATTGTAATTGCTTTAAGCTCTTGGTAATTGAGACTTATCAGCCCACATACCAAAATGATAAGTATTTCTGTACAATAACCAGTGAATTCTAATAAGGCAATAGGCCAATTACCCCACCTCCACCCTGAGGACCAGCCCCACCCCAGGTCACATCCAGCCTCAGAATCCAAGTGCAAATCTCTTGGTGGTTATTGAGGGTTGAGGAGGCAACAGGGAGGGGTTTTAGTGCAAAGCCAAATTGCAAATAGTTTTGTTCTAGCCCAGAATTCCTGATAATAGCTCCACCTAAATGGCAATTAGGAAGATAGAGCCACTAACCAAAACATGGTTTGAGTAGGTTTGGGGGCAGATCCAAAGATGTCCAGGGAGCCAGTAGGCTCCCCTGTGCCCTGGGATGAGGGTCAAGTCAAGTTAAATTGAATCTCAAAGAAAAGATTGGTTTCCAGCTGATTTGGGAGTCACATTTATTTAACATTGTTTAGCATCTTAAACCTTGTAATAGCTACTCCTTAGGTTTTCCAAAACTGGTGTGAAGTTTTGTTGTGCTATGTCTCTCCCCACAAGCCCCACTTCTAAATTCTTTTCTCTCTTCACAACATTGTTTTCTTTAGCATAAAATTTGGAGTGGAAGCATATTAAATAACACACAAAATTCAATGGCTTGAATAATGGTGTTTATTTTCTTTAAATACACTTAAATATGAAACAACAGACAGGAGTTTGGTAAACTCAAAACTACAAGCTGGACAGTAATCAGAAAATCAGTGCTGATCATATGAATCAAATCTGCATAAGGAAGAATCAGAATAATTCACAAGAGAGTTGCAATTAGCAAAGGACTCAGAGACTATTCAAATTGCCTCATCTGCTGTGAGTAATCAGTGACAAAGCACTTATCATTCCATGATGATCAAACCTTTTTCATTCACCAAACAGAAAGGGTTACACAGGCTCCCTCTTCTCCACTCCTTGGTGTGCAGAGAAGATATCTATCAAGGAACCGGGGAACCCTCAGCTGCTCTTTAATGGAAGATTGGTTTGGATTCACCCGGTACTATGTGAAATGAATTTTTTCCAACCCCTGGAAAAAAAGAAAAACAGTGACAGCAACTTGGCAAAGCGGCATGCTGTTTAAAATGAGGGAGGAGGAACTTGGGAACAAAGCTGAATCAGGGATTTTCTTGACTGTGGAGCTCAGGGGTAGGCCTTTTCTCCTTTGGAAAGCGGCAATGCTTTGCACAGGCTGGTTTAGCATTTGTACACATTCTGGTGTGCAAGGGGCATCCTTCCTCACAGCTGTTGTAAAAAATAAATAAATACACGTGAGAATTCAGAATCCAGGACTATATTCAAAGAAATAACTCTGTTCTGATTTAAGTTTTTAAAGTAAATTTTCCAGATATGTATTTAAAATGTCAATATAAAATCCTGAATAGTTATCCCACATGGAATCCAAATCTACTAAAGCGCACTCAGTAACCTTTAACTGTTCTAGTCATCAATAAATTTCTTGCTACATAAATCCAGTAATATCCTCTTTCTCAAAGAAAAACAACCAAATAAACATATATGTTCATATATTGAGAGAGACTGAACCAAAGAGTCTACTGACCTGAAACCCCCCACTATCCTCCACAAATAATTGTTTACATCTCATCATTCTAGTTTTTGCTTAAGATCCATAAGCCAATAATAGCAAGCAGGATTTTCTTGACTTCTCAGTTAATCATCACTCTGTAATCTCTTGCTTATTCTTAGTTGCCAAACCTCTGTTTTACTATCAAAAAGGGGCTTGGGCACTGAAAAACAAATGGCTTAATAAGGAATCCCACTGAATCAAAATGGCATTTACATTAAATGGTGATGAGTCAAGTTAAGGCGAAAGTGAAAAAGCCATTCACCTGCAGGTATCTGGGTGAAATACCTTGTGCTTCCGGCAGCAGCTCTCCAGACTCTCTCTGCACTCAATGCAACTGCAGTTTTCTGGGTGCTGGATGAGATCTGCGGGACAGGTTGTTTTACACACGCACTCGCAACGATCTTCATCAAACTTCATGTGCGGCCCACAGAGGGTCAGTTCCTGAAGGTGAGAGGGGTCTACACGGAAATAGAGAAGTGTTGGTCGAATAGCTGTAGCATGGATAGCATAATTCCCAAAGTGTATTCTTTACATCATTCTCAAATCACTTGAATTCACGAAATCTCCTTTCCTGTAGATTTCCCCCTAGTCTCTGCACAATGAAGGAGATTCACCTCTAATTTCGCAATACAAATACAGAATTCATATGTTCTCTTCAGTTTGTGATAAAAATGTTATAAACTGATTATTCTTGGTAATATTTTTTAGAGATTTTTAGGTTGGTGAATTGTTAAAAAATGCAAACTTTTACAAGCAAGTATGAATAATAAAATATAGGATGTGTAAGGATTATGAGTCTAGTCATCCCCAGTTTTTAGGTGAAGATTAAAAGGAGAGAGGAACAGAGGTATTGGAACTGTAGAAATACACTTCAGCCCTTCCATATTGTGGATAGAAACAGTGATGTATTTCCTCACCACAGATCACAATACTGATATAAAAATGAAATAGTGATAATGAACTTGGATTCCACAGAGATCTTCTGAGAGATATGTTCAGCTGAGAGAGGATGGTCTACAAAGTTTTTTATACAATTAGCTGACAGACATTTCTAGAAAGTGTACAATTGCTCCATGTCCAATTCTAATCATCAAGTTGAAATTCATTGCAAAAACTGAAAGAGAAACTTTGAAAGAACTTGACTATATCGCCTTAGCATTATTGAAGGTTTCAGAGCAAGTACATGTTTACTTTCTTACCCAAATCTGCTTCTCTCCAGTTTGCCTGATTTAAGTAATAGTGCCATTACTCTTGACTCATCTGCTATATTGAACCTAATCACCATGTCCACCCACTTCTGAGTTCTGCCTCCCTGAATTTGTTCGTTCTTTTCCATCACGACTACCACTGCCTCAATTCAGCCACTACCTTGTATTTTTTGTGTAGATGGCTGTCACTCATTTGCCAGCACAGTTTTACCCTTTCAATTCATTCTCCATAAGGTTATCAAATGCAAATCTAATCACTACTGATTTAAGTACCTTAAAAGGTTCCCCTCTCTTTAGAAATAAAAGCCAATTCTCCTACCAGGACATACAAGACACTCCATGAACTGACATGAACCATACTCATATTCATTCTCTCTCTCTCTCTCTCTCTCTCTCTCTCTCTCTCTCTCTCTCCCTAGGTTCCACCCATACCAATTATAGTTATAGTACTTTTCGTTCTCCTGATATGCCAAGGTGTCTCAGACTGATGCCTTTGGGCTCGTACTTCCCTTTGTTAGTAATTCTTTCCCCCAATATCTTTCTCAAATTCTGCAAGTTTAGCCAAGTGCCCTTGCTATGTGCATATTTCCATCCTGTCCTTTTTTAAGACTTCTTATATTTGTCTGTTAATTTTTCTGTTTCTTCCATTAATTAAAAGAATCCTAAAGGTTATAGGAACCAAGTCTCATTGTTCTGGCATAAAATAGGCACTTGATAAATATTTGTTGAGTTTATTTGGTGTAATAAAAGGATCCTGAATCCAGCTGATGTATGGAGACTGAAAAATCTCATCTAGCATTCCAAAACATTGGGTTACACCATATATTATTGCCACTATCTAACCATTAATAATGGCAAGCTTGTGTCATCCAATCTCATAGTTTTAACTGCTCGGTAATTAATGGTCTTTGGAGAGGAAAAAGATGAGTTTTGTAAGCCATGTTCCAGAGAGGCAAATGTCACTTTGGGGCAAGATGAGAATAGCTTGTTAAAGGATAGTTAAGACGCGCTTACAGATTTGCATGGATCACAAGGTGGCAGTAGAGACTCATTCAGAACACTTCTGGCAGGACTAACTCCATTCTTAGACCCATGGTGTAGGGAAACACAGCCCATTAGGTGTTATAGTTGGCAGAGGCACGCCTCAGTTTCTCTAGACAAGTTAAAAGTAACAGAGACTGGATGTAGGAAAACTGAATGAAACAGCAACCAACTAAAGGTGATACCCTGAAGTCATTCATAAATATATATGGTATTTGTCTTTCTCTGACTGGCTTATTTCACTTAGCATAATAATCCCCAGGTCCATCCATGCTATCTCAAAGGGTAAGAGTTCCTTCTTTATTACAGCAGTGTAGTATTCCATTGTGTAGATGTACCACTGTTTTTTAATCCACTCATCCACTGATGGGCACTTGGGCTATTTCCAGATCTTAGCTATTGTAAATAACGTTGCTAGGAACATAGGGGTACATATATACTTTCTGATTGGTGTTTCGGTATTCTTAGGATATATTGTCAGAAGTGAGATATCTAGGTCAAATGGTGGTTCTATTTTTAGTTTTTTTGAGGAAACTCCACACTGTTTTCCACAGTGGCTTCACCAGTCTGCATTCCCACCAGCACTGTACTAGTGTTCCTTTTTCTCCACATCCTCACCAGCATTTGTTGTTTGGTGATTTATTGATGGCAGACATTCTGACAGGTGTGAGGTGGTACCTCATTGTCATTTTAATTTTCATCTCTCTGATGATAAGTGACTTTGAGTATGTTTTCATATATCTATTGGCCATCTGCATGTCCTCTTTCAAGAAGTGTCTATTCAGGTCCTTTGTCCATTTTTTTAAAAAGTTTGTTTTATTGCTTAAAGTATTACAAAGAGTATTTCATATGTCTCCTTTTTCCCCCCTTGACCTTCCCCCAGCCTCTCCTACCCACCAGTGTCTTGTGTCCATTGGTTATGTTTATATGCATGCATACAAGTCCTTCGGTTGTCTTTTGTCCATTTTTAATTAGATTGTTTGTCTTCCTGGTCTTGAGTTTTATAACTTCTTTATATATTTTGGAAATTAACCCCTTATCAGATGTATCATTGGCAAATATGTTCTCCCACACAGTGGGTTTCCATTTCATTTTGTTGATGGTTTCTTTTGCTGTACAGAAACTTTTTAGTTTGATGTAGCCTCATTTATTTTTTCCTTTGCTTCTTCTGCCCTAGGAGATAGTTTGGCACAAATGTTGCTATGAGAAATGTCTGTGATTTTACTGCCTATGTTTTTTTCTAGGATTTTTATGGCTTCACCACTTACATTTAAGTGTTCTATCCATTTTGAGTTTATTGTGTATGGTGTAAGGTGGTGATCTAGTTTCATTTTTTTTGCATGTACCTGTCCAATTTTCCCAACACGATTTATTGAAGGGACTGTTTTTACTCCATTGTATAATCTTGCCTCTTTTGTCAAATATTAATTGACCATGAAGGTGTGGGTTGATTTCTGGGGTCTCTGTTCCGTTCCACTGATATATATGCCTGTTTTTGTGCCAGTGCCAGGTTGTTTTGATTATAATGGCTTTGTAGTGTTATATATTGATTTTAATCCTAGGGAGGTTGATGATGTGATACTAATGTATTCTGTTCCCAACCATGTTCCATTTATCATTTTTATCAATAAACTGATGGATTTTTTTCCAAGTAAATTCTTAAAGTTGTGGCTATCTTAAGAAATATAAAATACAAAATCAGGACTACCCAATTTTCCATTTTTTATTTTTTGGTATTTTTTAAAACAGGTTAGAGCAATGACCTGAATCTAACCAGACAAAATTCAACTGGAGCCCTAACTGGTTTGGCTCAGTGGATAGAGCGTCAGCCTGCGGACTCAAGGGTCCCAGGTTCAATTCTGGTCAAGGGCATGTACCTTGGTTGTGGGCACATCCCCAGTAGGGAGTGTGCAGGAGGCAGCTGATCGATGTTTCTCTCTCATCGATGTTTCTAACTCTCTATCCCTTTCCCTTCCTCTCTGTAAAAAAATCAATAAAATATATATTTTTAAAAATTCAATTGGACTTAGATTCACTAATTCAAAGGTGCTCATTCAGTGACGAGGTCATTATACAAAAGGCAGTTGACTGCCACAAGTGTGCAAAAGGTGTTTAGTGAACAATAAGCTCAGTATATTCCATCAAGTAGATAAGACTATTGGAAAAGTGACCAGGAACTTGACCCACATTAATTGAATTATAGGACATGAAAATTAGAAGTGATCATGATCCAAGTTATCCCGTGCCTCTCACTTCCATCATTGCTACAACTTCTCAAAAGCTACCCTGCCTCCTTTCTGGTCCCAGGACAACCCATCCTCTTCTACTCTGTCACTGGGTTAATTTTGCTAAAATTCTAATTGTTGCTGTCAGTTTCCTGCTTGAACCAGTTGAGTGATTTCCCTTTGCCCCTAGTATCACATCTAAGCTCTGGGACAAGGTTCATAGTGTGCCCTATGAAGCTCTCAGCTTCTACCCAGCCTTCTCCTATTATATCACCACCATGCAACTTCTTCCAGCACTCCAACATGCTATGCTCTCTCACCTCCAATCCTGAGCACTCATTTTCCCCATGCTCAGAGCACTTCTCTCTTTCCCCACTATTCTGCCTACCTCAGCACCCATGTGCACCAGCTGCGTCCCTCCCCAGGAATTACCTTCAGCAGAAAGAGGCCATGTTACCTAAGTTTACATCCCCTCCCTGAGGTAGCCCACATACAATGAATGACAAGTTCATAGGACCCAGCCTTGTTCCATTTATCATTTTTACCAATAAACTGATGGAATTTGGGGGGCAATCTCCCAAGGGCCATCCCAGCTTCAGCTCCCCATAGGATTGGCTGACACCTCTTAGCAACTGCAACACAGTTCAACTTCTCCCTCTGCCCAGTCCTGATTCCCTCTCACACTTTAATGCATGGTACTTGCATGCAAATTTCCTGAGTACAAATCTCTCTCAGAAGCTGTGGACCAGGAAAACCTTTACTAGAATAGCCTATAAGTTCTATGTATATTGCCTCCCACAATAACTTTCTAACACTGTTATAAATGAGTCACATGGAGAAAGAATTATACTCGTTTTACATGACTCTATAGCAGTGGTTCTCAACCTTCCTAATGCCGCGACCCTTTAACACAGTTCCTCATGTTGTGGTGACCCCAACCAAAAAATTATTTTCGTTCCTACTTCATAACTGTAATTTTGCTATTGTTATGAATCGTAATGTAATCTGATATGCTGCAGGATGTATTTTCATTGTTACAAATTGAACATAATTAAAGCATAGTGATTAATCACAAAAACAATATGTAATTATATATGTGTTTTCCGATGGTCTTAGGCGACACCTGTGAAAGGGCCGTTCGACCCCCAAAGGGGTCGCGACCCACAGGTTGAGAACCGCTGCTCTATAGGGTAACCCTGAAACAATGAGTTGATACTCTAGAGCTGGTCTATCCAACATGGTAGCTACAGATCATATTGAGCATAAAATGGCAACTCCAAATACAGATGTGCTGTCTGTATAAAGTACACAGTATATTTCAAAGACAGCACAAAAAAATGAGGACAAATCATTAATAAATTTTGTATTGATTGCATGTTAAAATCACATAATTTTTGATATGTTGGATTAAATAAGATTATGAAAATTCATTTCACCTGTTTATTTTGACCTTTTTAATGTGAGTACTATAAAATGCAATTTACATATGTGACTCTCACTGTAATTCCATTGACAGTAGTGCTCTGGAGTGAGAGATTTAGGTTCAGTATAGTTTACTAGCAATAAGAGTATGGTCAGAGTAAATATGCTGCCTCGGTAGGTGGTGAATTTCCCCATGACTGATGTATGTCTAGCAGAGGATGGATGAGCATTTGGTGGGAAGGACATAGATAACATTCAAGATCTTCATGGGCATTTAAACTACATGACCGTTAAGTTTCCCTTAAAACCTGGATTAAACTTTCATGCTGACAGACAGAAATATAGGAAGTAAGTTAGTACTTATGGTTTCTAAGGACTGATTCCTTAGAGTTGAATCCTTACTGGTTGCTTACAAATCGTGGTTTAAAACAAGCAAAGTTCAAAATTGCACGATTCCTTACAATTTTTTTTCCAGTGGAATCATATCAAGTTCTCTGGTAAATGACCAAAAATGCATTCATTTTTAGCCAAATGCTCATCACCAAAAATCATAGCATTATGAGTTATGAGCAGTGATGGTTGCTTATCTCACTTGGTTCCCAATTCCCCTTAGTCTAATAGCTGTGTTTTGCTTTTAATTTGATTTTGTTTCAGAAAAAGTTTCCTCTTATCCCCCCCTTTTTTTCAAATTACTGTCATGTTTTCACATGACACAGTTAAAAGAAACCAAGAAATCCAAAATTACTTTATCTTCTGGTGAGACTTTTATATAAATAAATTAGTAAAATGTGGTTAACTGTTTAGTTCTGAAGTGGCTTTCATTAAAGGTTATCATCCCCTTTCAAATTAAATGTATTGGGATGCTCTAATTGCTTTGGACTTTTCTTTAATATTAAAAAGCAGATAATGCATTAGTGGGTTTTCTATATAATTAAAGCACAGAGAGCTGTGGAATCTGACTGCTTCTATCACTTTTAGCTTGTGTGACCTTGAGAAAATCACTAGACATTGTAGTATGTACACTTTGTGATTGTAAAAAGAGGATAATAATAGTACATTATAGGATTATTGTGAGGATATAATGAGTTAATACGTATAAAAGCCTTACAACATTGCCTGGTCATATTAAGCACTCAATACATGTTAGTTGCTATTGTTGTTATTTTTATTATTACTATTATTATTTCATACTGCTCTCATTACCTTCCATTCCAGCAAGTGGATTCTCCTCCTGTAAAACACATTTACATTTGCTGCTATCCCATAGCATGTCAATAGGACATAGTTTCTTGGGATGGGAACAACTAGGAAAAAGAAATAAACCGGATTTAAAAGCTTTCAAGGGCAATCGTACCTTTGAAACATTTTTTAAAAACGTTGCATACATTTCTGAGAGAGAATAGTTAAGATTTTAAATAGCTTAATTCATATTTATGAACTGCATATAATTAGTAATTCTGTAATTACAAATATTCTACTTAGAAACCTTTGGAAATGAAACTGTAATTTTGGGAAGTTATACTCTTTAAGAAGATTTGTGTTAAAATGATGCAAATTACCTGTCAACAGAGCCTATTTACCAAAAGTAAATATTGTTCTAACATAGCTCCTAAGCACTATCTTCTTTAAAATAAAGAACATTGGTCAGAACAGCAGGAACATCTTGAGGATAAATGTTCCTTATAGATGAGCTTTTTTTTCTGCTTAAGGGAGGTAGCGATGTCTTCTTAGCTCACTGTTAAGTAACATATAACCACCAGCTCACTCCTTCGCTTGCCACTCACACATGTGTTTACTGATTTACCTTTGCAAAATCTAAGTATCCAACTTAGTTTATATTTTTATTCAGTGTTTATAATTTGACCTTCATTTGTTTCTCAATTTTTTTTCCAAATCAATGATTCTTCTCTTTGATTCCTGAACACTTCAGGGTGTTATAATTTGTGTCATAAAGAATCACAAAATACTCTTAGAAAAATTTCAAAGTCAACTGAATTTTAAGTAATTTTCATTTAAAATAAGAAATTTTCATTTGGTAATCTCAAGAGGAAGGGTTAGAAAATCTCCAAACTCAGATGCAGATAATTTTGGCACTCGCCAATGACTTCAGGAACCTTTTTCCCACCCCTAATTTTGGGACTGAAATGTATAAACAGCCTAGAATGAGTTTTATTTAATGTTTGTGGTTTTTTTGGAATGAGGGAACATGTGCCAAAGTTGAGGCTGGAAGGAAGTTTTACAACTGCATTAGACTGTGCATATGAAGAACAAAGGTGTCCATAGCAGACACGCTAAGTTCATAAGCACTGAGTTGTTTGGTCCTACTGCAATATACATCTAACACCTGATAAAAAACGTATTTGCCAAACAGTTATTACCAGTAGATCTGAGTTAGAAGCGAAAAAATGAAGAACTGGGAAAGAAAGTGATGACTCTATAATTAATGAAGTATTCTACACACACAGCTTAGGCAAAGGCAAGAACAAGTACTAATCAAATACAAGAAATGCTTACCCATTTTCTTCTGTGACCTCAATGGATCTTCTGATAATGGGGTATGGATGGCTGGGAGCTGTTGACAAGCACTTACAACCTGTATGGTTGGCAACTTTAACAGGCACTAATTCGGGCACTGATGTCAAAGGCACTGATATTTCAAAGAGCTAGAGTAGAGAAAATAACCACAATACAAATATATTTAAAAGAACATTTCTACAGTTTGCATTTTTGCCTTTGTCCTTTATGGTAGTGACTTTAGCAAAGTTTTTTCATCAAGAACAGAACTAGTAAGGATAAAGGCTAACATAGTGGGAAGACTGCTGGGCTTGGAGTCAGCTGACTGGGGCCTTATCCAATTTTACCATGTATTTAAGCTTGATTAAATCTCCTAATTTTTCTGTGCCACTGGTGCCCTTGTAAAATGGTACTGTTACTCCATGCTCCTGCTTTAAATTTGAGTGTAAATAGTAAAGATTAAATGAAATTATACCTATGAAGTTTCTTTTTTCTTTTTCTTTTTCCTATGAAGTTTCTTTGAGACCATGATGAAGAGATTATTGTTCAAAAACAATTTACTTATCACTTCTCATACTGTCTCCATTGAAGGAATATAGTTTCCTGTTCTTTGACTTTGGACTTGGCCATGTGACTTGTTTTAGTCAACAGGATGGTAGCAGACATGACACAACTGCAAACTTGAACTGTGCATACTTTGTAGGGCTTGTAGCCATGAGAAGAGAATGATCTGACAGGCTTGCTGGTCCAAGGGATGAAAGACATAGGGAATAGACCTGGATTCAACCTGTACCTTGGAGTCAAGCCCTATGGAGCCTACTCTAAACTAACTAGATCTCAGGTACATGAGTAATAATAAGTCTTTGTTGTTTAAAGCCCCTGAGTTTTAGGATGTTTATTATGCAGCATCACACAACAATAACTGACTGATACATGATCATCATGCCCAACCACTAAATTATAGGTAACATGAATGTCATTCGTTCTATGTTTCTATATGCCAGCCCTGTTGTAAGCACTTTTATATTAATTCATTTATTCCTTATTACAACGATATAGGGTGGGTTTGTATTACCCTCCCCAACCCTCTACAGGTGAAGAAATAGATGTACAGAGAAGTTATACAACTTGCCTAAGGCCATATAACTATGATTAGAAGAGTGGACATTTGAACCCAGGCAGTCTATTCTACAGGCAGAGGTGATACTGTTAAGAATATACTTTATTACTTTTTGGAATGAAATTGCTGTGACCAGAAGAAGCAAGGTGGTATCTTGGGAAGTAGAATTTAGAGAAATGTCAATTACTTTGTTTCTAGAGTGGTTCTATGATATACGGATGAATTTGAACTTGATTTTAATTCTCTGTCCATTCAATCACCAGTGGATGTAGTCTTTTCTACATAGAGAATTCATTTGTTCACTTTGTTTCTAAGAGGTATTTCATGAAATAGTCCATAACTTTGGGATGAGAGGTAGTTAAAAAAAACACAATTAAAATGTTCAGATATGCATAATTGGAAATAAAAACTGCTGTACACTTACAGTTAAGTACATTCTGTAAAACTAATCATTTGTTGAGTACAGCAGTCAAAATAAAGTACTCAACTATCTATTAAGTGAAAACAATCCATTAACGTTGTGTTTATTCTGACCTTTCAATATGTAATGGAATTCCATGAGTCTAAGTAAGAGAGTGTTTTTAGAGTGTTTACTTTGCATAAATTTCATCTTCTTGCGAAATTTTTCAGCTCTGCTCTAGGGAATAACATGGTCATGAACTAAAGCCTTTTACGTTAATGCAAGCTTTGTTTTTTCTGACAGTTGGTGCCTAGCCAAGCTTGTTATTTTTTGACCTGATTGTCAAATAGTAGAGGTCGGAATTTACAAGTTATGAGATTCTCTAAAAGGATTTGGGAAATTAAACTCTACAGTTTAAGGGGTATTTTAGGGGGTAGGAGGAACAAAATTAAGGATAAGAACCCATTGCCAAACAAATCAACATTCCATTCTTTATATCTAATTAAGATAATTACCTAACATGGATATATTTGGCGCATATGTAATTTTATTGTGCTATTATATACATATGCATACAGAATAAAGGCTATATAGGCAAATGTGATAAATGAATATATGAATATGCACAAGGAATTTGCAAAATAGCGCCAAAAGGAATGTAGTTTGACTTACAGCTTTTTAATATGTTTTCCTAAATTTGTTATTACTTCTTTCCTATGCAACAATTATATTTTGCAACAATATGGTAGCAATAAAAAGAAAAACTTATCTGCTGAGCAAAAAGGATTTTATGAGATGGAAAGGGAAGAATTATTTCTTTCATGGAGACTGCAGAATTGTTTTCAAATGTCTTTTGTGCTAGATACTTTCCATTTGCCTCTCCAGAGATGGCATCCTCTCTCTCTTTCCTTCCCCACAGGGCTCTGTGTCCCAGGACACTGACATCTATGGATGACATCTATAGGTCTTTTTGCCTACCCATACCCCCTACCCCCCACTCTTTGCCAGGCTAAGGGTTGACCGTGGCCTCCATTCCTCCAGCCAGTCCTGCAGCCCTCTTCCTCATTTTCTCTCTGGTCCCATAACTACTCTTCAATGAATGTGGGGGGGGGGCGGGTAATGGGGGATAAGGACACATATGTAATACCTTAATCAATAAAGAAATTTTAAAAAAGAAAAAAAACAACAAAGAATAAATTAAAAAAATATAAAAAAGTCCCCTTTTGCTAGCTCTGGGTACTGCACCAGCCCTTCCTCTTTTCCCCTAACCCAGTGGTTCTCAACCTTGGCTGCACATTAGAATCACCTGGGAATCTTTTAAAAATCCTGATTTCTGGGCCTCATCCTCCAGGAATTCTGTTTCTTTGTGATGGGGTGGGGCCACAACATTAGTAACAAAGAAACAGAATTTCCGGAGGACGAGGCCCAGAAATCAGAATTTTAAAAAGATTCCCAGGTGATTCTAATGTGCACCCAAGGCTGAGAACCACTGCCCTTAAACTCTTCTCAGTCACTCCATTTGAACAACACAGAACCTAACTAATCAACAAGGCAGTGCAGCTGTCTTCATTCCTTTTAATGTCTATTCTAGCAACTTCCATATGATTACAGCATCAGAGAGGCAACGACTGATAAAAATTCAGGCTCTGGAGTCTCACAGACCTAGATTTGAAGCCCAGCTCTGCCACAAGTTACTTCTCTGAGCCTAAGTTTTCTCATCTATAAAGAAGGATAAAAAGATACCCCTTTAGCTTGTTTCACGGATTAAATGAGACAACACACACAAAGCATTTAGCACAGTGTTTGGCAAAAAGCTCAGTTGCAGCTGTCAACACTGTCATCATTGGGACTTGGCAGAGGACATGCTAGCTGGTGTCCTCATACCTGTTTGGAAACATACGAGGTGCTGGTGTTCATGCAGATGACGCTCTCTTCATTGCAGCAGCCGCCACACCGGAAAACGTTCACACAGGGAGGTTTGAAGAACCTGTTGGTGCTCCTCCCCAGCTCACTGGCGACCTCCACACACGTCTCTCTAGGGCTGCACTGGGTTCTTTGCCATTCCTCATCTATAACTGCAAAGAGGAAGCTCATTGGGGCCAGCAGAAGAAACAGTCCTGACATGCCAATGTGAGCCAGGGTTATGCCGGGCACAGTCGTAGCACTTATTTTACTAGTTATTTTTTGTTGGTCCTTTAACCAAAGATTGTTTACAGAAAAATTAGAGTCAAAATCTGTTCCTTCACACTTACACAATACCTTTCTAGAATATAATTTTATTTTTCTTTGGTGAAGAACACCATATCCTGTATATAACCACATTGGTACATCTGGAGAAGCTGGTCAATTAAGAAGTAAATGGAAGTGTGTAAAGAAATAACGTCGCCCTGACTGGTTTGGCTCAGTGGATAGAGCGTCGGCCTGCGGACCAAAGGGTCCCGGGTTCGATTCTGGTCAAGGGCATGTACCTTGGTTGTGGGCACATCCCCAGTAGGGGGTGTGCAGGAGGCAGCTGATCGATGTTTCTCGCTCATCGATGTTTCTAACTCTCTATCCCTCTCCCTTCCTCTCTGTAAGGAATCAATAAAATATATTTTAAAAAAAGAAATAACGTTATTTATTAAGCAATTTATATGACACAGCTGAATAGCATTTCTTCTACTTGAAGCCAAGAGTGCACAGGTTTTAGCACCACTGAGGAATACATTTTTTGTTGGTTGCTTAACTAAGTCCTGCCAACAACCACTAAGTGAACTTGAAAACACATCCTGCCCAGTTGAACCTCGAGATGCTACCTGTGGCCCACGCTGACACCTTGACTGCATCCTTTGGAGAGGCCCAGGAGGGACACCCATCTAGGCCATGTGTGCATTTATGACTCACAGAAACTGTGAGATTTTAAAAAATGTTGTTTTAAGCAGCTAAGTTTTTGGTTAAGTGTTATGCAGCAATAGATAAATTCTCCATTTTTACCCCATCTTCAAAAATTTGTATTGGTCTCTCCCCAGAATATTCTAAATTCCCATATATGTGAACATGTTTCCACTAGAAGAGACAGAGGAACATCTGCTTAAAGAACACAAACATAATATTATTGTTGGAGATCTGACTGTAGTCTAGAAATTATTCCCTTAAAACATGTTTCCATATTTTCCCCCTCTTAATCGCAATTTTGCTCATATGTTGCTTCTTCAATCACTGAACGTCACAAAATACAAGATGTTTGGCCAGCTGAGAAACATTACATACACTAGACAGTTTGCCTAAACTCTTTTTTAAATAATAAAATCTTTTATCCTAAGAAACCTTTTTAAATTTATGATTTTGAATATTTACATAAAGAGCCTGAAGTCTATAAATATGAGAGATAAATTATGCAATTAGGTGTTAATATGGGTATCTCACTACCATTAATCATGAATCCTAGAAAAAAACAAGTGATTAAATTATGAAGATATTACTGTTTAAAATTCTACTTAAATACTGTTTTCCATTTGCTTTTTTATAAAACTAAGTTTTGAGAGTTGGAGCAGTAAGATTTTAATCAAAATTGTGTGGAACTATGACCAATGTCACTGAGTAAAGGCTGCATAACTCTACTATTCTTCATACCGCCAGTATGTCTGTTCTGCCTCCAAGATTACCCTGAAATCCATGAGGGAGAGTTGATAACAAATTATAAGTGATGTACTACACCCATTTGATTATTTTGATTATTTACTGCTTCTAAATTAGTCAAAATTTCAGATGACCCCCCATATAATGAAATATTTTAGAGTTGTTAAAAATATTTTTACACTTTTTATGGTTTCCTCCTTAGGAATTGTCAATGTCACTGACTTTTTAAAATCACCTAATTTTGGTTTTATGGTAATGCTTGTCTAACTCCGTCTTCACAGAGTATCTCCAGCCCTCTCAGGTCTTTACACAGGTAATCTGGTTAAGGCCTTGGATCTCAGGTGAGGTCTGACCTCTTTGCTTTCATAAAGTCCAGGCTAATTTACCACAAAGAAGTGACTAGAGCTTCAAACCTCTGGCTAAAGTGGGTTCTAGGCCATGGTTCCAATGATCTCCACTCATTTAGACACACAGTCATACAAAAACACAAAGAATCCTCTTCACACTCAGGCCCACAATACAGCCGAGGGATTTATCCCTGCCTACACAAAGCCTCCCCACAGCCAACAATAGAGACCTGTGCAACCTTGTCATCTTTTTACCAGTGGGGAAAAGTAAAGATAACTCTAGAAAGAAAGAAAAGAATGTTTTTGGCTTAGTGATCAAATTGAATTATTTGATAAATATAATCCATTAGCAGGCAATCATATCTTAATCAATTCTAAAATGCTAGGTCCTGGGGTGGGGCAGGAACCGGGTAGAGGTGGGCAATGGGGGGGAAAGTGGTGGACATCTGTAATATTCTCAACAATAAAGATAAAAATAAAAATAAATAAAATGCTAGGTCAACACTGCCACAGTGGCTTCTTGCATTATGTTGACATTTCATAAAAAAAGGTAAATGCCTAATTGGAAGCCACATAATTTTATTGGGCATGTATTTCATTCATTACGGCACAGTACATATAGACAATGGTTTTCTTATAAAGGACCACCATACCTTACTATTCCCTTTATTTCCAATTATGTTATTTTATAGTTTGGAGTTTAGATTATTTCATCTAGAGAGAATCAATTATTCTGCTACTAATACCAGCATATGTTATTACAACTTAGCTTCCAACTTTTACTTTTCATTTTTTACTTTAAAAAACCATAGACTGTCAAAGAAATAAAAAAATCTATATCTAAACTATTAGTTTTTATCCATGTATGTATAGCAGAATGTTTTTTTATTAATGAATGCCAAGGTTGTTTTATTTTTTTAAGTAAACACAATTATTTTTTAAAAATTAAAAACCATCTTTCTGGGGTGTTTTGCCCTCACATCTTTGAGTTAAATATACTCCTGTATTTTGAAGTGTTCTTTTGTGTTGATTTTTTAAATCTAAAAATCATACTCAATATAGTTCTCTGCAGAGTTAATATAGGAAAACAAGAGTAGATATAGGAAAGTAAGATTCTCCGTTAACACCAAAGCTATGAAATCAGACCCCCTGTTCCTCTCCCTAACACATGCTGCCTTGCTCAAACTTTTGGCAGAGTTGGTGCATTTGTTACTATCTGAGAAAGAGCAAGAATTGGCCTACACACACACACACACACACACACACACACACACACACACACATACACACACACATACACACACATACACACACACATACACACACACCTACCTTTTAATGTTTCAATGTCATAGAAAGTTGCCGCAAACCTGGTGGACCGATGGGATGCTGAGCGAGAGTCCGGGGTGGTAAAACTTTTCAGCTTCAGTCGGCATCTCCACAGCTTCCAGTCCTCGAAGTGTGTGATTTGCAGCAGTTCCTCCAAGCCAGAAGCTGCCCTAATCTGCTGTTCAGATTGTTCTAACAGGGACCGCTTGGAAAAACAAACAAAATAGTGGTATGAAACCAAGTTACTAAAGTTTTAGTTTGTCTGATGACCTTCATTGCTAACACTTAAAAATGTAAATAGAGCTGAAAAGGAATTAGAGATATGATTCAAATGTACAACAGTACCTAGGGAAAACAAACTAGTATTTTTTTATTCACATTCTGCTCACTTATGATTGAATCAAAGGGATTACGTATTTCCCCTTGGGTACTCAGAACATTTAAAAACAATGGTGAGCTTCAAAATATGTCTACATCTTAACCCCCAGAACCTGTAAATGTGACTTTATTTGGGACAAGGAATTTTGCAGATGTCATAAAGTTAAAGATCTTGAGATGAGATCCTCCTGGATTATCCACGTGGACCCTAAGTACAAAGACAAGTATCCTAATAAGAGACAGAACAGGGGAAGCCACAAACACAAAGGTGAAGATTTTTTGGAGACAGTGGCAAATATTAAAATAATGCAGCCACAAGCTAGGGATGGCCTGTAGCCAGCAGAAGCTGGAAGAGGCAAGGAAACATTCTCTCTAAGAGCCTTCGGAGGCAGGCTCTTAGAGAGCCCCTGCCTACACCTTGGTTTCAGAATTCTGAATTCCAGAACTGAAAGAAAATACATTTCTGTTGTTTTAAACCACCAAGTTTGTGGTCATTTGGTACAGCAGCCACGTGTAATTAATATATATTTTTAAATTGCACTATTTTTGTGACAGGAGCCAATGACAATTGTTTTCATTCTATTATTTGTTTGAGAAACTGACCCATAAAGTCCTGGGGAACTGCCTAAAGTCACACTAGGAAAAAAGATTTTTAAGATTCTAACAACCTGAAATTTCTGACTTCTAATCTTCTGAGCCTTTTTTCTTTTTAAATCTGTTTGCTATTTCAAAGGCATGGGTGTGTTTTTTCTCATAAAATACACTTCTTCAGTTTATGCTGAAAATTGCCTTTCCACACAGTTGCACAAACTGTATTGACTGATATGATGCCTGGATTTGTAAGTAAAAATGTGGTTGAGCGTCAGCCCATGAACCAGGAGGTCACAATTCTATTCCGGGTCAGGACACATGCCTGGGTTGTGGGCTTGATCCCCAGTAGGGGCCATGCAGGCGGCAGCTGATCAATGATGTTCTCTCTCATTGATGTTTCTATGTCTCTATCCCTCTCCCTTCCTCTCTCTAAAATCAATAAAAAATATTTTTAAATTAAAAACATGACTTGGCCAACAAAAGATTTTCAGTATGCAGCCTATTTGTTCAAAACTAGGGTCATGGTTATATAAATAATGATACATGTATACAATTAAATACTATGTGAGCATCAAAACCAGAGATGTAGGCGTGTATTGGGAAGAATGAATCTGCATTCAACAGTGTTTGGGGAGTAGATTTTTTTTTAGATATGAAGATGGATACTGAGTTGTCCGAAAGTGGGTGCTCAGAAGAGCAAGTATGGTCATGTATGATTCAATTATATCTTTTTAAAAGTTATTTGTGTGTATAATGTGCATCAAATATATAAAAAATTAACCATTGATAATTAATCATATATAATTTAAAACATATATAATATCTGGAGGAATATACATGAAAACATATACAATAGTTAATTCTCTAGATTAGGAATTATCAAAATATACCCCCCCGGCCTAATTCAGCTTGTTGCCCTCCTGTTTTTACAAATAAAATTTTATTGAAATACAGCCATGTCCATTTATTTACATAGTGTCTATAGCTGCCTTCATTCCACAACAGCAAAGTTGAGAAGTTGAGACAGAGACCTTCATAACAGTTTAAATCTGAGGCCACCCACTTAAAAATTTCAGTTCTGTTCTCAATCATTATATTTTTCATTATTCCATTGTATTACATTGTCTTTATTCTCTTTTTTGAAATACTTATTAGAGATACATTGGAGCCTTTCAATGATCTTACATATCTCTTAAATATCTTTTTCAGATTTATCCATTTTTTTCTCCATCTCATTTTTGTGTGTTATGGATAAATTAAATTCATCTCTTCCATCACCAATTTTTCAATTGTGTGATCTACAATTTATTTTTGTTAAGCTTTTAATTTCAACCATCATATTTCTAATTTCTAATATTTCTATTTCATTCTCTTTCCAATCTGCTTTTTGTTTCATTTCTGTATGTTTTTCCTAACTTGTAATTTTATTTTATGAACATTTCTTTCTTTATCTCTTTAAGAGTCTTAATTATACTTATTTTAAACATTTCTTCAAATTGTTTTATATTTTTACTTCCCATATGAAGAAACCTCCTGTTCTAGATGAAAAAGGTGACCAGCTAAGCAAAGCTCCTCACTGGATCTCTTGAGAAGTGTGGCTCTGAGACTATGCTCTCAAGCCTTTACAAACTGTTGATGTTATTTTGTCAAAGTATGTTGGCACTATGTTTTCAGGAAGTTTGCTCATAAGGGGGTGAGGTGAATAGAATTTGTATATTTTGAAAACCCAGAAGCTTCAGTGTGAGCAATGGAGGGAACACATTTCACACAACTTTCCCTAGATTTGCTTAGGGATTTACAAGTATGGCCTGGGGGCACAGTTCTTTGTAGTGGGTTTAGGGAGGCAGATCAGGTTGCAGTACAAATAGTTCCTGTTCCCTCCAACTCTTAGCAACTTCAATTTCACTGGAAGAGCATTTTGCATTACACCTTTAACTTGGTGTTTAAGGCTTAGCCAAAACTGCAACATTTCCCCTGGTTTTGGGTCCAAGTTGCACCACCAGGTTCCCGGCTGTTCTCCAGAGATATCCCCCACCGCTGCCCCTCTATTCCCATTTCTCACTCTTCCACCTGTCAAAAAATATGTTCAGGCCATGTTAAACTTGTGAATCCACGTTGAAGTTTTGTGACTTTGCCTCCTTCAAGTCCCAAGTGGAAATAACATCTCCCAAAAGGAAGTTTTGCCCAATACAACAAACCCCTCTGTCCTCTGGACAGACAGCTGATTGAAGAGGTGAGAACATGGATTCAGAGTGTTCAAAACTGGCTTTGAATGCTATAGCGCTCTGGAAAATGTGTTGGCAGTTTCTTGTAAAGTTCAACATACACTCACCATGTGAACCATAAGTCCCACTCCTAGGAATTTACCCTTAATAAATGAAGACTTATGTTCACAGAAAAACTTTTACATGAATGTTTATAGTTTGGCTTTCTTCGCAATAACCAAAATAAAACTGGAAATAACCCATATGTCATTCAATGGGTGAATGGTTAAGCAAACTGTGCTACATCCATCCCACATAATACCACGCAGTAATAAAAAAAAATGGACTGTGGTACACATAGCAACTTGGATGGCTCTCAAAGGCATTGGGAGTGAAATAAGCTGATCTCAAAAGGTTACATACTATACTATTCCATTTATGACAATCTCAAAAAACCCAAAATGATAGTGATGAAGAAGAGATCAGAGGTTGCCAGAGATTGGGGGAGGGTGTGACTATAAAAGGGTAGCATAAATGAACATTTTCCTGTATTTTTTATTGTTGTGGTGATTACACAAATCTATACATGTGTTAAATTTCATAAAACTGCACATCAAAATGGAATAATGTTGATTTTACTATATAGTAACTTAAAAAAATAAACTAAGCTGGCTTTGAATTCAGGCACTGCTCCTTTTTAGCTATTTGACTGAGGGTCAATTTTTGAACTTCCTTAAGCCTTGGTTTCCCCATTTAGAGATGGTAATGCTAATAATGCTACATAGAACGGATGTGGAGATTATACTAGGTCATATGTGGGAAATGATCAGGTATAGAGTAGGCACCCAATGAAGTTCATTTCATTTCTTCCCTTTCTCAGGAGCAGGGCATATGGTCCTTTGCTGGGGTTTATAGGTCTCTGATGGCCCTTGATTTTCCTTAGTAACCAGAGAGGTGGGTTTGAAAAGAACAAGATGGGGCAACTCCAATTAGAGTAAATAAAAATTAAAAAGAGGAAAACTTTTCAGGGCAAATCAAGGGCACACTTTTCTTTTTCCTTTAAATAAAATTTCCTGGGGATATCTCTCTATATATAAAAGGCTAATATGCTAAGTGTCCCCATAGGAGTTTGACCGGGAGACTAGTTCTATCGCTCACTATGATGTGCGTTGACCACCAGAGGGCAGCGCAGAACAAAGGAAGACCCTGGCCGGCAGTTGGCAGCCAGGGAAGGGAGGCCCTGGCTGGAAGCCAGAAGGCACCGATCAGCTCTGATTGCCAGTCAGGCCTAGGGACCCTACCTGTGCACAAATTTTGTGCACCAGGCCTCTAGTTTTTAGATAAAAGGCCAATTTCAAAGTATCTGCTTAGGCTTTACATATATCTTTATAGATGGATGAAGAAAAAAAATGACCCACTTCTTAAACCTTTGTGTTTTATTAGGGTCTGGCCTTATTCACAATAGATAGTACCTAACAGTAGGGGGCATACCAACTGTGGGAACTTACTAATATCACTGCTCTGGCTACACCTGTTTCGGATGCTCAGCTGGAACCAGCAGAAGGCCTGGTCCTCCTTCTCTGAAATCCAGAAACCTGGTCATTTGGTGGGGGGTGGGGAGTGGGGAGGCTCATGCTACCAGCAGTTCTTTTACTTATGCAGTTCTATATTTAAATGCATATATATGAGAAATCCAGGAAACTTAGACTAAGGAAAGGAACTACATATGCAGGGAAAGTGTGTGTGTGCGTATGCTCACGTGCATACATACACATGCATGCACACACTTCTGTGAAAATGAATGCATAGCTGTCTGGGTATTTTAAGGGGATTCTAAAGGTTTAAGATGTCTGAGACCTTCAAAGCCTCCAATTTGATGACTATTATTGGTGGTTTTCTCCCCAGCCACATTGTTTAGCATCTGGGGAGATGTCTATGCCCCCCTATACATTTTAAATCTGGGCTCTACTCAAATGTCTCTGCTCCCATTTGATGCATTTGTGCTTAGGAAATGTGGGGGCACATGAGTGTGGGATGGGTTTGAGTGGCAAAGCTCTAAAAGGATGCTCTGAATAACCCCATGAGTATATATATTCATGAGTTAGAATCTCTTTATCATTGATCTCAAAGATCAAGGGCCCAACGTCTAAGGAAACAACCCAGAGCCTTTATGGTAATTAGGTTATTACAAACAATTTCACTGCCTCTCCTGCTACCCCCACCAAGGAAGGAGTCTATTTCTCAGCCCAATGACATTGGGGCATGTGACCTGCTTTGACCAATAGGATACATGATACAAGCAGAGGACTCAAATGTACTTATGATTGCACAGTTTTCCTAGATTTCCACCATTACCACAAGCATCTTCTCCTTCTAGCCCACTGATCCAAGGAGGAGGAAAGACATGTGGGGCAGACCCACATTCAACCCATGGCTTGAGTCTTGACTCCCAGCCGACCCACAGAAATATAAGTGAGAATAGATTTTTGATGTTTGAAGCCACTGAAATTTGAACTGGTTTGTCACACAGCATTATTGTGGCCATAATTAACTGCTACAGTCCCATTTCAACCTAACTTCTAACATAATCCATTGGGTGGGCAGAGAATTTGTATGCAGAATTTCATCATCCTTTTTACAAGGCAGCTTTGCTGTGCTGCTGGAAGCACAGTATGCCCCCTTTCATCTTCCTAAAGATGCAGTGGCTCCATGTGAACACCTACTGCTCTCCTTCTCCTCCTCTCCAATATCCTCTGCATTCTCTAAAATACTCAATGATCCTGAGTCTTGCTGTGACAGTATAGTTATGAACCAAGCACACCATTACAAAGGCTGCTTTTACTTTATCATCCCACTCTGTTCCTTTTGGGGAGTCTCTTATTTAGGATGAACTCAGGGTATTCATTCAACCAAAATTATAGTCTTCCTAACTCTCTCCAAAATAAAACAGTAGGCAACAACAAAATATTTGCCATAGCAATATTCAATACATATAATTTTTCTCTCTTCAGAAACTATTTTAGCCAAACCTGGATTTCAGGAAAACAGTACTTTTCTCCATGTAAGTGTTACAGTTATTTAGGTAACAATGAATAACAAAAGGAGACTCATTATAAAGAGTTACAGTGTTACTTAAAATTTTCGGTATTAAAATGAGCCTTTCCACAGGTCAAATTGAACTTTTTGGCTATTGGTAAGATGCAAATAACTAAGACCTCTTTAGTTTATATAAAAACAAACAAACATCACTTCCACTCATGCCTGGCACATAGAAGACATTCCACAAATGTTTACTGAACTGCATGTACAGCTTTCCTTTTTCAGGGAGAAGGAGCCCCCTGAGCAGCAGAAATAATCCTGAATGTCTTCCTTCAGTGATTCTATCCAAGTGTCCAACCATGGCTGTTTCCCATCTCAAAGGTACGATGAGAAACATTTAGAAGCAACTCAAGTTGTGTGTATTAGTCATTAATACTGTTCACCAATTATTTACAGCTTTCTACCATTTGAGCACATGGAAGGATTGCACTTCTGGGCCCCTTGTGGTTGATGGGGTGGTGAGTCAAGGGCTTGTGAACAAAAGTGATGTCTGTCACTCCAGGCCAGAGCATTTAACTGTCAGGGCAAGACTCTCCCAGGGCTGTCCTTTCCTCCATCATGGTGATTAATGACATTCAAGAGGTGGATGCTAGCCTGTTTCATCCTGACATAGAGTTGACCCTGGATGAACCAGGATGGTCATGTGGTATGAGCAATAAATAAGTCTCTATTGTTTGTGAACCCTAAAGATTTGGAGTTGTTATTTCAGCATGTTCTGGCCTAGCCTGACTAATAACATTTCTGACCAGAGTACTTTGCCATAATTTACCACATCTTCACAAACCCAACTGGTGTAAAATGAAAACATAGACAGCACTTCTTAAGGATCTCAAAGATGAGGGAGATCATCAAGTTGTTCAAGCTTTAATTAGATCTGTTGTATGGCCAGATTCTGCTTTGCCCATCTCTTGTTCTGGGACCACCAAGCTGGAATAATTGGCTAAGGTGACTTCCTTCTATAACTGGCTCCTAGAAGTGAACACCTTACAGAATAGCTTGCAGCTGGAAGGACACTGAAGGGTTCTTGGATACCTCCACCCAAATATTCTCTAATCCCCACAGGAAAATATCCCAGGGTGAGTATACTACCTTCTAAAATGCTTTAGGATTTTAAATAATGAAATCAGACAAGCCATAATAAGAGTTGATGTTGGAGACTGTTTAATGTAGTAGTTCATAAATTGGGTATGTCAAAATTGGAGAAGCTTACTCCATCAGTCAGTCAACAAATATCTTGGTATCCACTCTATTACAGGCTTTGTATAAGGTGAGTGGGACACTATAGTAAAGAAGACTATGACAAGTCCCTGATCTCAAAAAGCTTTCATTCTAATGGAGGATAACAAAGCAATAAGCTTAGACACAAGCAAACAAAAATGAGGAGGATGAATAGTGTAATGATATAGATCAGGGTTTATGAACTATGACCTGTGGGTCAAATCCAGCCTGCGGCCTATGAGCTAAGAATTATTTTTGACTTTTTTTTGGTTAATCCTCACCCAAGGATGTTTTCCCACTGATTTTTAGAGAGAGTGGAAGGGAGGGGGAGAGTCAGAAACATCAATGTGAAAGAGACACATCGATTGGTTGCCTTCCGCATGCACCCGACCAGGGCTGGAGATTGAGTCTGCAACCCAGGTATGTGCCCTTGACTGGAATTGAACTGGGACCCTTCAGTCCATGGGCTGGTGCTCTATCCACTGAGCCAAAACAGCTAGGGCTATTTTTGACATTTTAAAACGGTTGTAACAAATGAAAAGAATATTTCCTGATACATGGAAATGATATACAATTCAAATGTCAGTGGCTGTAAAGCTTTACAGGAATACAGCCATACCCTACATGATCTGCCCTGGCTACTTCTTCAACTTCAGTGACTGCAGTGCTGGCCTCCACTCTCCTTATTCCAGTCATACTGGCCCCTGGCTAATACCCAAACACTTGAGTCACCTCCCTGCCCTCACCATGGCCATTACACCGTGGTGGACTCTGCCTCCCTTACTTCCTTCAGGAGTTTGCACAAATGAAACTGAATCAGAGAAGTCGTTCCCACACATTACTCTGTTTCTGCTCTCCCTGCTTAATTTTCTTCAAGGCACTAACACCCTGAGTTGTTATAAATTCGTATAGTGTCTGCCTCCAACCACCACACTTGGAATACAAGTTCCATTACACTTGAATTGTCTTATTTTCTCCTGCATTCTCAGCACTGAGATCAATGCTGAGACATAGTAGATATTCAACAAAAAATGAATTGCCAAATACTGAAAAGTTCTAATGAGAGACAAGGGAGAGATGATCTAGGACACCACAACCACTTAAGGCTTTCATGGTGCAGTGGGGACCTCCGAGTGTGTTTGCTTTATAAAGTCCTAGTATCTTGGTAGAGACTAAAACTAGTGGCAAAACAGAGAAAAGTGGAGTTGCTACCATAAATGCAACCAAAAAAGAAATGTCTCATCTCACCTCAACTTAATGACATCCCAGTTATGCAGATTCCCACCCTCTCTGCTAATCTCAAGTGGTAGAAAAGAGTTAAACTTAGAAATGTGCTCAGAAACAATCTTACTGTTATTTGTGTCTCTATTTCCCTAGTACCTCGAGTTAATTGTGAAAATAATAAATGTACTTGGGAGTTTCAGATCTTATGTCAAGTTCTACATAGAAGCATCCATGTGTCCAAATACTATATTTTCATTCCATAAATTGTCTTTATAAACCTATCCCAAGAGGGGTTCCATAATGGAAGTTGTGCAATATTTAGCCTTAATGTTATTTTTTCTAGAACCCTTAGGGGTCTAGAGTAAAGATTTATCTACAAGTCCAAATCACGTTTTTAAATTAAAAAATAAGTCATACAAAAGTAGTACTATATTCAAGATATAAGATGCAGGTGGTTCTACTGTATCCTAAATACCAATGATATGCTATAGTGATATAAAAGCTTCAACCACTAGTTAAAAGTGACTACCTAGGATAGAATATGTCGGTGTATAGAAGCATGTAATTCAACACATTCAATGATAAGGTCATAAATGAAGAAATTAATGGAAAACATTTCAAATGTCTTTTATGCCAAAGACTGTGCCTGACAGAAAATTGGACAAAAGTTTGTTGGGCCATTTGACTAAGAACAAAGTGAATGGACACATATGTAATAACTTTATCAATAAAGAAATTTTTAAAAATAAATGTAAAAAGTCTTGGGGGAAAAAAGAACAAAGTGAATGGACTTTCCTGTGAATGACTTTGGAAGTGGGATAGGGAGGGGAGTCAAGATGAGTCTGCTTCCTGGAGTTAAATATGAAGAGTGCACCTCAGTCCTTGTTATTCAATTCACTTTAGAGAAAATTTCCAGAGAAGGCAAGTGATACAAAGTTTATGAAGTCTTGTCAGCCATGTAGCTTTCTCATGAAAGTTGTAGTTATCCCACATCCTGTGGGTCTGGGACATATTCCAGTCTTATGTAGAATTTGAATGACTACAGCACCCAGCAATATTCTTCTACTAGTGAAGTTAAGAAAGAGGGGGCTAAAAGGAAGTATGGGGGAGAAGGAAACAAATTTTGCCAGGAAAGAGTTGGGAAAGCCTACCATGACCTGGAATTATTTCTTCATCACTCTATTGATATGTCTGCATTAGTGACTTTGAAAAGATTTATGGAAGATGGCTTCCCCTAGTAGTGTATCAAATATACCAGAAATAGTGCTGGCCAGAATGTGAATGACAGGACAGTGAGGTTTTTATTTACCAAATGCCCAGTGTATCTACACTATTGTACTCAGGACTGTCACATACATATATAGGTCTATGTGGATGGAGCTTCCTAGAGTACCCTTCACAACTGTATATGACTATGATATCTGTATAAAAAAGCTGAAGAAAATAGACACAGAAATAGATGTCACATCTAGATGGTTAATCTGGTTATATTATTGAATAAAAAAGGCATTGGGTTAACCTTATTTCTAGAAGAAAATGTGTTTTGCTTAGATTGAGAAACTTAGCAGCTAAATAGTATTTACAGATTGGAGTTGAGATTTTCAAACATATTTATCTCAGTTCACAAATTCCATGCACTGCTTACCCCAAACAGCTCTCTTGAGTACAAGTGGCATGGGTAATGAAATTAGGATGCCATATATTTAAATGGCATTAAGCACAATTGTCCAAGGTATTAGCAGCTGTTTACATGGTTGCTACAGAAAAAAAGTATTCACAGATTCATGTAACTATAGTAGAGGCAACTTTATTCTAAGCTGGAAAAAAAAACAACAGGAGAATGTTTAAGACCAGAAAGTAAGGACCATGGGGGAATATGGGGGAAGGGTAATCTGGGAATAGACTGGCATTGCCATCCATTCTGGAAAAGAGATGGTTAGAAGAGGGGAGGGTGGAGAGAAAAACCTTCTCCTGGACCTACTACTTAGGAGGACCCTGAAAATGTTGTATAATAAAAACATATTTATCTCAAAAAGCAAAAAATAAAATTCATATCCCAGTGTCCAAACCACTACTATCCTGAATATGCTTTCATACTAAACTTTGATTTAAACAAGAGGAACATTAACACCAAGAAACATATTTTTCTTTTTAGATTTTCTCTTAAGAAAAAGTTGTAAGGGGAAGGACAAGTATTATAAACAATACTAGAGGCCCAGTGCATGAAGTTCATGCATGGGTAGGGTCCCTAGGCCTGGCAGGTGATCAGGGCCGATTGGAACTTTCCAGCTGCTGGTTGGTGCCTTCCTTCCAGCTGCCAGCCGGGGCCTTCCTTTGTTCCATGCCGCCCCCTGGTGGTCAGCACACATCATAGCGAGCGATCAAACTTTCAGTCTCTGGTCTAACTCCCGAGGGGACACTATGCATATTAGCCTTTTATATAGAGAGATGATAAACCTCCTTATCCTTCCCTCACCACTCAGTCACATCTATACCAAAACTTCTGTTTAACTATAGGCAATCTTTACTTAACATCAGACATATTTAATTTAGCTGGGGATTGGGTGAATATAAGCTGAATTTATGTAGCTTTACTTTTTAAAGGAAATTATAATATATGTGAAGAAAATCATTAATATTAAGCATATAATGCTGCATCTTCCATGTGGAAGAACATGTTTTCTTTCACATGCAAATTCAACTGCTTTCCTCTGTTGCCCCATTAAATGAGTTTCTGTGGTAGCAGTAAATTTGAAACTTTTAAAACCTCACTGTGCCCAGGGCACCTAAAGAATTATTGGTATCTGTGCTCTTTAAGAATTGAGCAACCTCAAGAACAGTACTTAATTACAACAAATCAGTCTCTTCCTGTCCCATCAAATACATTGATGTTTTCAAAGTACAATGGGAACATTTTAAAACTCCATGCAATAATACTGGGGTGGGGGTGGGGGTAAAAGTGCAACTCCATTAACTCAGCACATCTAAACCTGAGTTTTGTGCACGTAAGAAAAAGCTGAACAGTCTGAAAAGTCTTACTTGCTTCAAACAAGTCAGATTTTTTCCTCTCTCCTGTTAAATAGGCTCAAAATTGGATTCCTTTCCACCTGGCATTGAAGTCCAACATGGAGGCTGGTGGCAATGAAGGGGAGCTGAGTAACGGTGACCTATCCCATGTGCATTTGGAATCTGGAGATTTAGAAAAGCGTAAACTGCTGGACAAGGTGTCTCTCTACCCCTAGCACAGAGCTCACCCTTTAAAGATATACTGCATATCTGTTTATGTACTGCATGTTTATCTATGCTTTATACATAAAAAGAATAAGACTTTCAGCCCCAAGGACCAATTTCCCCTGTTGGGGGCACATTCACCCCTGGTAGAAATGCATGTCTTAACAACAGCTACAAAAACTCAAGGCCACATTTGATTGATTGCTCTCAGCCAGAAATTCCTAAATCAATAATGATTTAGCACTGCTTCAGTTAAAACAATTATATCAGAATCATTTTCAAAATAAAAAGCAAAAAATATATGTTCTATGAAATACATAAAACATATTGCTCAGTCAGTAACATCCCAGTTTATTTATTTTTGCATTATCCTCAGTCTATTGGGCTCTATCTAATGCTTGCTCGTAGAATCACAGATTCAATTACTGTTGAATTTTACACGTTTCAAAGAGCAAAAAACTAAATTAACTTCCAAGAAAATATTTTTCTAGATTGTGTCAATGAGTAATTTGGAAAACCAGATAGAAAACTTCTGTGGCAAACACATAGGTTTCCATTGACAAAAGTAATGAACTAACTAAATTAACTAATATTTGGTGCTCACAAACAACCTGAATATAAATGGCCACAAAGTTATGTGTCACAAAAATAAGTCGGTGCTTCATTAGAAAATCAAATCACTATGCCATCCACATATAAAATTGAGGGGAAATTTGCCCATTTGAAAAGATTCCAGAATATTTGTTCATATTCTTTTACATCCCCAAAACACCCCTCAGCATTTTTAAACACGCATAGCAAGAATCATAGGACGCCTAAGAAACAGAACACTCATTAACAAATGGAGGATGCAAAAAAGAAAAGTCTTCCACGTAAGCCAATAAAAAATCTACATCATATTAAAACATAAGCTCACCTACCTTCATTGATCCATGTTCATCACTGGAGTCTTGCACCAATTGCAGATAAAACATCATGAAAATATTCACCACTGCCCACTGTCTGTACATTTTGAACACTTTAATACCCACTGATTACCAAGTAGTTGACAATAGATAGCTAGAGAAAACTGTTTCAAAAGGCATTCTCCAGAAGGAACGTTCGAAACCCCAAGATTTCACATGGAAAAACAATCAGTTGTGATAAAAATCCAATGAAATGATTAGTCAAGGTACGTTTTTGCACAATCTTATGCAGATAGAGCGATGAAAAAATTTTTAAATGTTCTCATGCTCCAAGAATAATTAGGAGGTGGACATGTTTTCCCTTGCAATGAGAAAGCACTCTAAATCCATTTCATGCCCAGCAATTTTTTAAAAAAAAAATCTCTCTACCCTATGCCCCAAGTTCTAGCTGCTTTATAAAGAGGTGGTGTGGCCACCAATGTTTGCAGCTACAGAAAAGCTGGAACCCAATTCTGGATTCCAACTCTTTTCACAACCCTCATGGAAGCTTGCAGGAGCATGTGTCTTAAATCTGACACAGATTTTGGCAGAATATGCAGGGAAGTCTTGGCCGTAATCCTGTCACATCCCTACCAATAGCAAGGATGTTTTAAAAACTGACTCAAATGCTTAGGACTGCTGTTATTTTAACGCAGATAACCTGTAATGTGAAACCTCGGCACATAGGCATGACTCCGTATTGAAAATTGCAGTGCTCAGTAATGGACCTCAGATGCTCATGAGGCATCAACTGCTAGTGACACACAGAAGCAATCAATTATGCTTTAAAATCGCAGACATTCACAAAAATAACAAAATATCCATACATACATGAAAAACAAACATACATCAAATGAAGAATACTGATTTTTAAAGAAGCAACAGTTAGGTTTATTTGTATGTGCCAGGAAATATCTCATGTACATTGCTATAAAAACCATGCTGTCACTGTTGTGTGGAATTCTTCAGATGCACTGGCTAAGTCAGCTTTGGAAACTGAATGCATTGACTGAATGGATGCGACAAATGGCAAAATTTCAGAAAGCATCGAGACCTGCTCTTGTGCTTGCTCTTCACTAATTTCCAATCTTTGACTTCCAGGTTTTGGCTCTTTCAAACCCATTTTTTGCATTTCTGAAATCAAGAATGGCTTGAGAAATCTCTTCATTGGTGTTCATCACGAATGGACCTAAGGCAGAAAGAGACATTCAGAGAGTTCTGGGTGATGATAGCATGTTCTTTTACCACTAGAAATGGTTAACTTGAAACAATTCCAGGAATATCTGAACAGTAAAAGGTTCTTTTCACAGCATCCAATCTCCGAGGATGGTAGCACACGTTTCTTAACTAGGACTGTGTTTGATTATAAAGACCGAACTTGAGATAAACAAAGGCAATTGCATCTCATTCATCCATTGCAAAGTTGTCATCAACAATTGCAGTCCCTTTATTCAAAATATTCTTAGGTTTGGTTCTATTACAGTCATTTTGTAGTTGTTAGGCTTTTTTTTTTCTTCCTTATTTTTGGAGATATAATTGACATGCAACATTATATTAGTTTCAGGTGTAAATATAATGATTTTAAATTAGTATATGTTGTAAAATGATCACCACAATAAATCTAGTTAGTACCCATTTTTTCTTGTGATGAGAACTTTTAAGATTTACTGTAGTGCTAGCTTTATAGCACTAGCTAATGTCAATAATTGAACCAAACTGGTACAATGAATTGGCAAATCTCATCCTAATTTTGTATCTACACAGTATATGAGACTATGTACTTACATGACAGGTCTAAGTCATTTTAAAAAATATGTTTTTATTGATTTCAGAGAGGAAGGGAGAGATAGAATCATCAATGATGAGAATCACCACTCGGCTGCCTCCTGCACGCCCCCTACTGAGGATGGAGCCCGCAACCTGAGCACGTGCCCTGACCAGGAATCAAACAGGAACCTGGTTCATTGGTTGATGCTCAACCACAGAGCCACATTGGCCGGGCATGTCATTTTTGAAGACTAGTAACAGTTTGTTGACAATAAACAGGAAATTATAAAAATTTCAAATCAAGAAAGCATCATATTTTAGATTCTCTAAGGCTGGCAAACTTTTTCTGTAAAGGGCCAAATAGTATATATTTTAGATTTTGTGATCAGTCTGTTTCAACTACTCAACTCTTTCATTGAAGCGTAAAAGGAGCCACAGACAATATGAAAATGAATAGGCATAGCTGTGTTCCAATAAAACTTTCTTTGCAAAAACATGAAGTGGTTTGCTGGTCCCTTTGCCTAATTCCTAGGTTTGAATTCAGGTTTTTCTAAAAGTGCAGAAGTCTGTAATGTCTGTCTCTTCCCTTTTTTTCACACATTATAGGGACAAAGGGACATTGTCTTTGACTGTACACTCCCAAGATCTCCTGGATAAACAAGGCCAGCTCCTTGGTGGCATTTACAGTGTCTTAAAAGCAGGTGACAGATTTGTCCATTCAGTATATTTCTTCTACCAGTCTGCAGAGGTTCCTGACATTCCTTTTATAAAAGTTCCTCATTTAAGGGGCCTTCTCAGAGAGACCCAAGTTAAAATAGAACTGCATTACTTAGAATTTCTTCACCACTGTTAGCGTATCAGGGCTTTGGCTCTCACTATAATATGCTTTGATGATGTTGAGATGAATGACAGACTCTCTCCCTCCAAGGACTTCAAATCTATCGCAGAGATAGATATGAAAACAAATTATTACAAGCACTGTGATATACGAAGTGATAAAAGTATGTAAAATGTATGGAATCAGCACAGAAAGGTGAAGAAGGGTCCAGGAAAGGATTCACAAAGCAGATGATATTTGAACAGGATACGTGAAGGAATGGCATTTCGGGATTAGCATGTTGGAAGAATTGAAAATGGAGGCACAGTGTTTGAAGGAAGGATCAGAGGGAGGAAAGAAATGGAGGGATCTGATGTATAGGAAGAGGCCAGACCCCTCTGCACTTTGAATTCCATCTACTGAAAGATGTTTGGACATAATTCTGCAGGTGATCAGGAATCACCGAGTTAAGTAGAGAATAACATGATCTGATTTGCAGTTTTTGAAGAAGACTCTGGAATCCAGATAGAGAAGATGTCTGACCTGGAAGGCTGGCTGATGGTGGGATTGTTAAGGATAATTGAGATACAGGCCATAGGAGGCTGTGGGTAGAGCAAGGCTTTCAGTTCTGGATATTTTGACATGAAGGTGCTAGAGACAATAAAATGGCTTCCTGCCAGAGGTACTTAGTACATTGTTGGAAATATAGATCTGGGGTTCGTGAGAGAAATTTCATCTGGAGTCTGGAGATGGAGATTTGGATGCTCTTGCATAGGAAAAAATGAGAGAGCCCTCATGTGTGAAATAAATAATAAATCCAAGAGGGCACCCCGGAGAAGCCAAGTTTTGAAAGGACTCATGGGGGAAAGTATTGGAACTCGGAAAATGAGAGCAGGTACAGGGCCAAGGACAGATTTCCTGCATGTCATAATTTTGCTATAGTTTACACTTGTAGAACGATTCTCTCATCCCTTAATTATTTTTCTGTAAAATCAGTGCGCTTTTGGGCTTCCATTTTGACACTTTTCTGGGGGTAGTCTGATGTGCCTCTCAGTTTGTAGTGTGCACATGCATCAACTGGAATCTTATGGAAATTTATATTCTGATTCAGGAGGTCTGGAGTAGGGTCTGAAACTCTGCACTTCTAACTCTCTCTCAAGTGATGCTGATGCTGCTAGTCCACAGACCACACTCTGAGAAACAAGGGACATATTATTGGAAGCTTGACGCCCTCCAAAGTCAGATTGAGGAAGCTTATCTCCTCAAATCTTCAAGCAGAAAAAGAAAACTGAAACCAGAAAGCAAGTTTTGTGTTTCTTTTTCCTTTTTCTCATGTTCTTCTTTTCTTTCTATTACATTTACCAAATTTATTTATTTATTTATTTTAAAATATATTTTATTGATTTTTTACAGAGAGGAAGGGAGAGGGATAGAGAGTTAGAAATATTGATGAGAGAGAAAAATCGATCAGCTGCCTCCTGCACACCCCCTACTGGGGATGTGCCCGCAACCAAGGTACATGCCCTTGACCGGAATCGAACCTGGGGCCCTTCAGTCCACAGGCCGACGCTCTATCCACTCTATCCAAACCGGCTAGGGCAATTTATTTATTTTTAAAATAGAGGTATAATAAGCATAATATTAGTTTCAGGTATCCAACATAATGATTTGATATATGTAAAATGATCACCACCATAAGTCTACTTAACATGTATTACATAGCTACAGCTTTTTTTTCTTGTGATGAGAAGTTTTAAGATTTACTCTCTTAGCAACTTTCAAATGTGCAATATAGTAATATTAACTATCATTGCCAAGCTGTACATTACATTCTCCAGAAAACATGTTTTTCATTGATCAACTATAAGGGTTATAAATAAGAAAAATGCTTGCTAGTTGTCAATAATCCCATAAATCCTCTCTCAAACTACAGTTTTCATCTCTTCTATAGTTGAACCTTTGAACTCCCCTGTAATAAAAATGGTGTGCATTTAATCTCTCATTTTGTAGACTCTTGGTATAGTGGAGAGAGCACAAAACGTGGGATCAGGAGTTAGTGTTCAAATTCCAGCTCCGCTGCCAACAATCGTGTCCCATTAGAGAAACCACAGGGCAGAGTGAGGGGCAACTGGCATTGTGCAAGGCAGAAGGGGTGGTTGGAAACCAGAGAGCCTGAGTGTGAATCCAACTATGTGGCCTCAGGCAAGCCAATGAACCTTTGCATCTCTGTTTCCTCATCTGGAAAATGGGGATGACAGAATATACCTCATAAGTTTGTTCTGAAGATTAATGTATTAATATTTGGAAAGCATTTCAACCAATCCTAGTAAATAGCAGATGCTACCCATGGATTTGCTATGTAAATAAGTAAAATATTGAGATTTCATTTTCCTCATTTATAAAAGGGCCATGACTACATCAACACTACGGACATTCCCTATTCCAACAATCTATGACACCCTGGACTTAATTTGTGGACACATAATTAAAGATATTCCATGATAAAATAAACAAAGGCCTTAGTTAATTCATTCCCAAGTAGTGGATATATAGTTGTGGCTATCTTTAAACACAAGTAAGTAATCGAATAACTTAAACACCTGAATTTTTAAAAGTTTTTTAAAAAAGAAAACAAAATGTTCTTCATTAGCTGAGATTTCAAGGAACATATCTTTTGGGCTTACCATGTTGGACAACTGGTTCTCCTAATGGCTCCCCAGCAATTAGAACGAAGTGGCTTCTCTCAGGATCCTAAAGTCAAGGTGGAAAGCATCAGTCAATAAACATGCTTATTTTTGAAATAGAGGCCCGGTGCACAAATTCGTGCATGTGTGGGGTCTGGCCTACCCCGATCGAGGCCGATCAGTCGGCCCGGGGGAGGGGACACAGGAGGTTGGCCAGCCGGCCCCGCCCTCTGGTCGAACTCCCGGTAGAGGGGACAATTTGCATATTAGCCTTTTATTATACAGGGTATTAAATTAGGAATAATTTGAAGTTAACATGCTAGACAAATGGACAAAGTTCCTAATTCTGAATATAAACTCCAGATATACAATCTGTGCAGTACTCAATATGGAAAGGCTTATTCCTTAAGATTTTTGGTGGCATTTAGAACATAAGTCTAGACTATGAAAATATTAACCTTCTCAGATAAGGAAGAATTTAAATTAAGAGTTTCCTTAACTAGAAA